AACCACTATGGTTTAAAGCGGGAACCGCGTGAAGGTCAACCTGATAGGGTATATTGTTAGTAACGGAGCTGGCAAATCCCCATTACAATACAATCTCTTTCTCCCATTTAAGAGGGTGAGTGAACCGTGGTCACCACAAAATTGTCTGGTGCCCACCCCGAAAATGTCACAGAGTAAGTACATAAACGCCTTCTTTAAAGAGTCAAGTCCCTTGAAAAAAGATCATAAATATACCATTGATATTGGCTCGGCTCTATTTAACTGAATCGTGACTTTAAAATTCAAGAAAAAGAAGGACAATATGTATGTCCTTGTTTCTGCAAACAAGTGGTGATATAACTGAGCAAGACGTACAGCTATTTTATCGGAAAAAGAAGCCGCCATATGCAAGTAGCTATTATTGCATGACTATTTTCGGTATGAAGGATATGGCAATTAAATTACTGAGAAAATTACTGACGAACTTGGATTACAGAGGCTTGTACTCGTACTTTAACGTGAACATAGGTATGGTTCTCGTCCCAGAGAAGAAAAAACAGGCTTAGTACTTAAATATATGTAAGATAAAATGACCTTCATTGCATTTCTCATTCGAAATAGACACTTAATAGTTATTATTATTGATACAACAATTCGTAATTGCTTATTTTGGACCATAATTGTAGTTAAAAACTGGACCATATTACTAAGTTTGTTTTTGGAGGGATTTTGATATATTCACAAAAACAGTGTTAGAAACATTGTTATATTTCTTCGATCATATTTACATATGATCTTAAAAACCCTTAAAAGCTGTAATAATTACAGATTTTTTGCTTTAGAAACTTCGGAGATGGGGAGAGTGGGATAACAGTTTTTTTCACATTTTTGACCATAATTAAAATACTACACAGTACAAAAATAAATAATATATAATAAAAAAATCTGTTTTAAAATGTACAAATGATACCCCACTTGAATTAATAGGTCGATTTTGAAATGTTGGGTATCTTTTTTGAACCCAAAAAATATTAAAAAAAAATATGCAATAAACTGTTCCAAATTTAAAAAGCATCGGTAATTGCTATACCAGACCAATGGAAAGACGGACAGATGAACAAAGTCGCATCATAAGGATTTCTTTGTATCTTTTTGAAAAAAGAGGATTCCAAAACACAGACACTTATAAATACATACTACTTTATTCTCTTAGTCATCTCTTACAATATCCTAAGGAAAAAAAAAGAATAATCACTTATTGTATCTATTTCATCAAAAACTTAACACTTTATTAGAACATTCCATAGGAGTAACACCCCATGAGACATACTATGAACAAATAACATATTCTGTGATGACCATGGGGACTGCAACGATGGTTTTCATTTTCTATAAGGCAGTCCGGCAACATGTTAGCTATTCCGTATTGTATGCTAAATAAAAAATACTCATATCTATTTACCCACTTCACTAATAAATATTTATTTGTCGTACGGTCCACATCAAAAGTCAATGAACACATTAAGATTTTCAAAACTATTTGATGTTCTCTGTTAGCACACATATATAATTGTCTAAATACAATTAATTTTAACTTTATTTCTTTATTGAGGCGCTTGATGTTATGGTTATTATTACCTATAGATATGTTGGGCATTTACCCAAATATAATTAGTTATTTAAATAAAATTTCCTATTAACTATAATTATTTAGTTCTTTTTATCTTTTTTATTTAGAGGCTTTTATATTATTAATTAAAGATATTAATTAATATTTACCATATATATACATACATTCAATATGGTCCTACAGTTGTTTGATTTTATTGTTGATTAATATTAACTTTACTTATTTATTTGTTTCAAATAAATAAATAAAGTAAATATTAATCTAATTTCATCGCCGACCTTGTTGTGCTACTTATGTATGCGTCGCGTTGTGCTTACGAGTTTTGGAGATTTGTTGGTGTTCATTAAATTTTTAATGCTGACTGTACATTCACAATATCAAAGCACGCTCGACACACCGCATTGCAGTGGTCTTACAGCACTGTTACCCCTACGTGTGTTTTGATCTTAATCATATTTACTTAATTGTTTTTATTACGATTAAGTAGCACAAAGACAAAAGTTACAAAGTAAAAAAATTAATGTCATTGTAAATATGTGCATTTTAAACCAATTAAAAATATTAGGAAGCTTTGAAAATTGCTGTATTTATATTTTTAGGCTACAGTGACCGTTTACCATTAGATGGGCTGTATGCTTGTTTCCCATCTACATGATATAAAAAAAAAACAATTGACAGATTTCAATAAAAAAAATACTTTGACCTCATACTTATTATCATCCTTACTAGTATTATAAATGTGGAAATGAGTTTGTTTATTTACTAAATAAACTCCTTAAATAATTCTCATAAAATTTGATGTATATATGGTAAGTACATATCTATTTGTGAGAAAAAAGAACACAGAATACTTTTTATCTCAGTCACGTGGACAAAGTCTGTTCAATATTTCAGTAAAAATAACATGGGTATAATAGCAAATTCAGTATGGTGTAATTAAGATTTTAGGCAAAACACGTACCTAACTTATCAGAAAGTAATAATATTCGACTACAAAAAACATTATATATATCTACCTACTATACATTACACGATTAATTACTTTCATTTGCCTTGGTATTTAGCTATATTATAAACAAACCTTGGCGATATATTTTCACATTGGCCGTTTCATGTCAGCATAACAATATCTAAACTAATATCTACTTGTGCTCTAAGTACATAATGTATTTGATAAGCACTTAGTTAATCGAAATTGTATAGTTTTTTAATGGATGATAATAGGGTGGTGACCCTGCCTACGCTAACGAAATACGCTGGCGGGGCACCAGTGAGGGATAATAGGTGAGAATAAAAGGGCAGGTCAGTAAGCCCATGCCGTCGGAGATGTGGTGAGTGCGAAAGCGAACCCATGTCTCCGACATATGGCACCTCGAGGGTATATCGTCTGGTGTTTGGTGGATATACCTCCACCTTACGCGAGGATTCCCACAGTACCCATTCACCTCCCACAAGGTATATGGGTCTGCATAAAGCATTTTCCAGACGTTATAAAAAAAGAAAAGGTCAGTTAACCCATCGTGATGAATACATATGGAATTCAACACGATGGTTTCCATGAGCAGCTATGTGGTGATCAACCCGACAAAGTATATTGCTAGCAATGGGACGGGTAGTTCGCATTACTAATAATACTTTAAAAAAATGTTTAGTAGCTATCACAGTGAGGAAAGACATTGTTAATAATGGGGTCTAACTGCTCCATTGCTAGCAATATACTCTGTCAAGTCGACCTCCACGCGGTTCTCCCTGGTAACCATCGTAGTTATTTCTTGTTGAATTCTTCAGAGTGGGCCAACTGACCTACTTTCGTCCTCGTCTATCATAAATCACTGATGTCTCATCAACATATACCGATAGTGTGGCGCTACTGTTCCATTTTCACCCGTTAAAATAAATAAATTCATATTACATTATTTTTTAGTTTCCGAACAGGAATATAAAATAAACACACAGACAACATACTCACTAAAAATTACTCAAACGATTTATGATTAACAGGTCTTCCTCAAATATTTTCCATGTAATCCTTATTAAATATTATAAATGTGAAAGTAAGTTTGTTTTTTTGTTACCTTACAGCGCCTTAACGGCTTAACCAATCATTATGAAATTTGGTGTACAGATATTGTATGAGGTAGAGAAGGATCATTTCAACCGTTAACAGTCCACTGCTGGACATAAGTTTTTCCCAAAAGGGGAATTTTTCCAGTAGTTGTCACGTTTGGCAGGCGGGTTGGCAATCGCAGTTAGGCTTTTAAAGATGTTTTAAGAGGGACGCTGCTGCCCATCCCTCGCCCTCCCTTAGTCGTCTGTTACAACACCTACGGGAAAAGAAGGGGTGGCCCATTCTATACCCGGGTAAACACGGCAATGTAGAAGGATATAGATTACTTTTTATCCCGGTCGGTAAACATATCCCGGACAACTAGATGAAGTGTAAAAGCTAGTATCCATATAAAATTTCTATAAAGTTTTATTTCTGTTTCTAGTAGCATAAAGGAAACTCTACCATTGAAAAACGGACGTTGTGTAATTAAGAAAAAAATATAAACCAGAAATGTCAAGTTCGTTTTACATTTTAGCAGTTTCTGTCAAATTTTAGCAGTGTATGTATACAGAAGAATAATAAATTAGTTTATTACCATGTTGTATAGGTATATACAAAGGAAAATTTATTGTAATATTACTATGAACTAAATTTAGTTCACAAAATCTTCGTAAGTTTATTTGATCACATATTTATATTTGATTTGTAAAACTTGCCTATCGCCTTACTATCAAGTACTAAAAAAACATTCCCTAATTTAATCGTTCAATCGTATTTTTAAACGAATTAAAAATGATTAAGTTCTGAATTCGCTTACTTGTAAGTTATGCGATGTTTTCTACAATTGTAAACCGATTTTAATAACTCTTTTTGTAATCGATAGGATTTACAAGCTCGTGTCATATTAATTTGTTAGGATTACAAGTCGCTGTTATCTATGATTTTAAAACACCTTTATCCAATCACTCTATGAATTTTGTATATATTTAGAAACACCCTGATATTTGTATTTATTTCTGTCTTCTGATAAACTAAAATTCGTTTTGTAGTTAGTAATAAAACTAGAATTCTGTTTTATATCTTGATTTATATTTTATTTGTATGTGGTTGGTGGCTGGCAGTGGCAGAGATATATCTAGTAGAAAGTGATAAGCGTCACTAAAAACATTAAAAGCACCTTAGATCTCACACTATTCTCATACTATTACTGCCTCTGTACCCAACCATCAAAAGATACAACTATTTGGCGCCAATCAGACGTGTAATAGAAATATACTCATGCACATAACCTTATAGATAACCTCGTGTGGTATATCAAGATTGTTTTACCTTTTTTTTCAGAGTGGTTGACCCGAGAATGAAACGTGATGAATCCTTAAAGAGCGTCACCAAGTTCACGTCGTCTCGTCGCCTGAGCGAGACACGGCCGGCGCTCACGCTCGGTTGGCGGCAGAACTCGCTTACTATAAGCACACTTGCCCAGCAATCCGCTTATTTAGCTGAAAAAGCTTTCAGAGACAAAGAAACGTAAGTGTGAGATTATAATATGACATACTATGATATTCTTTTATTTATTTACTTATTGCACCAGATACAAAAGTAAAGAATATAGGAATAGAATGAAAAAATATTAATTGACCACAAAACAATTTCACAAAAAGTAAGTACAAGACAAAATATAAAGAGAAAATGACCAAAAAGCCCTATCTCAGCATTAAGCCACTAATAATGGGCACATTACTCACAGTTGGTAGCGCTGATATTCTGATAGGACCTATAGTGGTGTCACGGATACCGTGACACCAGAGCATGAAAACATTACATAGTAAATAATTTAAGGTGAAGTGATAGAATAAGCGGTCTTATCGATTTTTTTTTTATGAATGAAAATGGAATGGTATCCCCACCTGTGATATCGGTATACGTTGGCGGGGCACCAATAAGAAACGATAGGTGAGGGAACCGCGTGGAGTACAATCTGCATGGATTTGTTAAACCATATTTCTAATAGTCTCTATCGGATATTTAATTAGTAAACATAAGTTTTTAAAGATTTTACTCAATACGGGAAAAATTAAAATAGGACTATAATTTATTGATTCATTTTTAATACTATTTTTAAAAAGCGATAATATTTTACTATATTTCATTAAATTACAAAACTTACCGTCACTTATTAATACGACGTAGAGACATCTGACGAATTGCGTAGGAATAACTGATGTGAACAATAATAAAAATATATAAAAAAAAAATCATTATAAATTCAAGTGGCCTGTTTTCTAAAGGTATTGATCCATACCCATATATCCATAGTTATTCTTTAACTACATCGAAGAGTCTAAATTATATGAGTTTATAAAGAGAATAATAGAAAATTTAAAATTTTTAAACAATACTCGCAGATATTTTAGATTTTATGACTTATAAATTGTATTTCTTATTTCAGTGCAGAAGATAAAGTTCTAGCGGCACCAGTTTCGTGGTTTAAATTAGTAAGTTTTATTCATTAAATATATAATATTTTTAAATACACAAACCAATAAAGTTATTTTTATTTAATAATTGTAATAATTACAAGAACGTTACATTACACAGATTGGCGCCTAACGTAGGATATGAAGTTTATATTAATTAGTTTATATTATTATATCGATTAAACTAACCAGAAACTAAATCGTCGTAAAAATAACAAATCAAAAAAAAAAAAAACACCAAACAGCTAAGAGAATTATGGACTTCTCAATAATAGAGTAATAAGATTATAAGCGTATAAGTGTATAAACAAACAAACTAACGGCCCAAGATGATGATGATGCAAGCACAACTGCTTAGTAGTACAGAAATACCCCAGCAGACGACTATACTATAGTCTCCCTCCGATACAATATATAAATGTTTGTCATTTTCCATCAAATTACCCGTTAGCTTATTTTCGTTCGTTTCTGCAAGTATAAAATATCTTTTAAAGTAATCTTCCACAGTTCAGGTTCGCAAAAACATGGGAACTGCTACTGCTATTTGTTGGGCTCATTCTGGCTTCGCTGAACGGCCTCTTTGTGCCACTCGGCGTCATCATATACGGGGAGTTTACCGCGCTTCTGATAGACCGGACAGTAATGACTGGTACCTCATCTCCCACTCTAACCATCTCTCTTTTCGGCGGTGGCAGAATATTGTAAGTGAATTTTAAGTATCGTACACATGAATATGTATCCAAATAATTTAATTCAAGCTAAGAAATATTACAGCTCAACCAACGTATCATTTGTAACAATATAAAGGTTCTTCAATAACAACATAAAGGTTTAATTCTATTTTTAGAATCATACAATTTTGATCGTAAAAACAATGAGAAATGAAATTCTTTGTCAGTCTCGTAGAGAAATAGTCTTGAGTCTATTATTTCTAAAGATATCTCTTCTAGTCAACCCAATGCAGACTATTTATATAATTTATACTTTTTAAAACCAATCTATAAATTAGAATTTTGCATACGCGCTCCAGTTAGTCAAATGTCTTAATTACTCCATAATTTATACTCCCTTCACAGGAATTTTTTTCATATATCAAAAACCATATTCTTTTTAATTGATGCGCTTCAAAATCTGCTTATGATTTGCAGAAAAAACGCGACTGCGGAAGAGAACAGGCTGGCGTTGATTGAGGACTCACAAGCATTTGGCATCGGGTGTTTCGTATTCTCGTTATTACAGTTCATCGTGGGTGCCATAAGTGTTGATCTCTTCAACTTTACTGCACTAAGACAGGTAGGGAGCTGGGACACATCTGATGTTTATATTCTTTGCTTATATTTAGGTGACAGCCTTAGTATTTTAGCAATTGGATTTGCCTCCGTTACTTTTCGACGGACGCGGATTCAATCTACATAACAAATATTAGTATTATTAAGTATGTCTTTTTTTATATTGATTTGGGCTTATTTACTATGTATAAATATATATTAATAAGAATCTTTAGATTTACAGAAATATGTCTATTAATTGTCTAACTCTACTCTGTTTGGGACTAGTTCGTTCTGTGTAATATATCAAGTGGTATAAAAGTTATCATTTAGAAACAAATTGGAGTTTTCTTAATTTACTTAGGTATCAAATTAACAAACGAAATGTAGATACTATCCACCTTATCACCGTTCACGCGTTAAAGCACGTAAACGCAGCGCGATACATAAAACAAAGACATACGCGTATAGTCAAGCGCCAAAAATCACAAAGTAAAACATATTTATAATAAAGAATTTAATAATTGCTATTACCGTTGCAGATCGAGAGAGTAAAACAAAAATTTCTGCAATCTGTGCTTCGTCAAGACATTACTTGGTATGATCTGAACACGACAATGAATTTTGCAACCAAGGTTTCTGAGTAAGTTTTCTATATTATTTAATCAGATATAAAACAAATAAGTGTAGTAATGGAAAAGATTAAAATGCAAAATTGTATTTCCGAAAATTCACATTCAAGAAAGACAAGCAAAATAACGACCCTCTTGAAAATGATAATCTACGCCTTAAATCACTAGCCGTCCTTAACAAGTAGCAATGACTAACCGATCCATCGGTAGATATATTTTCGTGACATTCGTGACAAGATGCTGGACATTGCTGTCTTGTTCTATATCAAATACGTGATAGCGATAATACATCTATCGATACGTATCTTTAGCCGCTTGATTAAGGAGGCAGTTCGGGCCAAATCTGATATCCCAGATCTCATTAATTATACAATTTCGGTTCACAGTGACGTGGAGAAATATCGTGAGGGTATAGGTGAGAAGGTTCCCATGTTGGTGTATCTGGTTATGTCATTCGTAACTGCCGTGATCATATCGTTCTGGTACGGTTGGGAACTCACTCTGGTCATCCTGTCATGTGCCCCTGTCATCATCGCTACCACCGCTGTTGTAGCTAAGGTAATCTAGATTAATATTATACACTAATAATTAAAAAAAAAAAGATTTTTTGTAACAGATAAACTCAAAAAATACATCTTCGATTTTAAAAAACCGATCAAGTGCGAATTGAACTCAACACCAAGGGTTCCGTACATATGACATAAAATTACCTTATTGCGTTTTCCAACAAAATACATACTTAATAGTTATGATTATTCATATTACAATTCTTTATCGTCATTTTTTATTTTGGACCATAATTGTGGTAATCTGGAGCGCATAATTAAGTTTCTTTTTGGAAGTTTCTTTAATAATTTTTCGAAACAATGCTAATTAGAAACATTGTTTTATTTTTCCTGTAATATTTACTTGTACTTTTATCAACTGAAATTATTTCAGATTGAGTTCATAACCCAATCAGATTTCGAGACTTTGTTTATACAAAGCAATGTATGAGATTGACAGAAACTCAATAATCTTAGAACAAAACATAAATATATTTTATATACATACCTACATACACGCATACTTACATAGTTATTCTATATTGTAATCATATCGCCAATTAAAATTACAGATCCAGTCGTCTTTGACAAGCCAAGAACTAGCAGCCTACAGCATTGCAGGAGTAGTTGCTGAAGAAGTCTTGTCATCTATAAGAACAGTTGTTGCGTTTGGGGGTGAAAAAAAAGAAATTGCACGGTGCGTTAAAAATATCTTAGTCTATTGCATTTTATGTATATACGTGTATATAGGTACTGTTCTATTGTGGTGTTCATAGATTTATACACATTTATAAACAAAAAGTGTCGTCACGTATTTAGGCAGAGGGAGACTTTGTACAAAAGTCGATTGCTGAGTACCTCTGTCCCATTCGTGTTTCTACCGTGAAGCAGTTGTGTTTGTATAGCTGTATTTCGGTTTGAAGGGTGGGATATGGCGTGAATTTACAGGGTACGGAGGAATAACATCTGAGTCCTCAGGAATGGCAATGCATGAGGGTATCATGGGCGAAACAGTATACTCTGTTATGTCCATGGTACTGCTTATGTCTCTAGGCGACGGTTACCACTTTCCATCAGGTGGACCGTCAGCTTGTTTGCCATTCTAAGTTGTATAAAAAAAAATATACATTATATATATCGCATTTATTTTAATCAAGTACGTATTTAGGCACAATATATCTTTTTGTTAGAATTAGAACCAGCAATTTAATGAGTTTGTTAAACTGTATATGAAAATTCCTTTAATTTCCAGATATAGCGCGCGATTAGATCCAGCCAAAAAGATGGGAACCAAAAAGGGAATATGGTCGGGACTGGGTAGTGGTGTGATGTGGTTCATCATATATTGCACTTATGCACTGGCCTTTTGGTATGGTGTTGGTCTTATTTTGGAAAGTAGAAATGAGGAAAATCCTATTTACACACCGGCTGTGCTAATGATTGTAAGTAAAAAGCTTATATTGCTTAGCTTTCATTATTCTTGTGTAATTTTTTAACTTTATGTGTTAGGTAGCTATAAGGTAAGTATAATGGATAATTATAAAAGCATTACTTAAAATTTTCTTTAAATTCTATTTCTTCGAAGATGTATATTGATTCATCATCATCACATCATATCAGCTGTTAACTACCCACTGCTGAATGTAGGCAGGTATTAAGAGGTTTTGCCAATAACTACGGTTGGCAGGCAGATCGATTGTCAAATTTTAATTCCACATGTTTATTATATGAATTTTTTTTTATTTCTAATAAATTGCTGCACCAACAGATATTCTTTAGTGTTCTGCAAGGTGCACAAAATGTAGGCCTGACCTCACCCCACATGGAAGCAATGACAAGTGCTCGGGCTTCCGCTGGTGCTATATTCGCGGTCCTAGACCGGAAACCCGCTATTGACAGTCTGTCCACTGAAGGTGATAAACCGGAACTCACAGGAGATTTGGAATTAAAAGACGTATATTTTAAATATCCGGCTAGGCCTGATGTACAGGTATAAACATTAATACTTTAATTAAAAATGAATAATAGTCTTTACAATATTTTGAGAATACTTACAAAAGGGGAGGGTATACTTAAGGAACTTATTGCTTGAAAGCTAAAGCTACCTAAATAGGAAATGGTTCCGTCAAGTTATATTAAGACTCATTATTGTTATAGTGCTATCAATTCAGAGTTTTCTGCTTATAAGTGGAAAACTTGGAATTGGTAAGTAGTAGATATTCTCCAAATATAGCGAAGCTACAGAAAAAGGGGCTAGATTTAGCTGTTTTTTTTTTTACTAAAATAATAATATATAAATGATAGCGGTATATATAATTCGAAAATGTAATTAAAATTTCCAGGTCTTAAATGGAATAAATTTAAAATTGAACCGAAATGAAACAGTCGCGTTGGTGGGTTCGAGTGGTTGTGGCAAGTCAACTGTTCTTCAACTGTTACAACGCATGTACGATCCTGAAACAGGGTCAGTGACCGCATCTGGACATGACCTGAGGAACATTAATGTTAGACATTTAAGGAACCACATAGCTGTGGTTGGCCAAGAGCCTGTACTGTTTGCTGGTACAATAAAGGATAATATCAGGTAACTTTTGGTATACGAGTATCTAAATACTGATGAAGAAATAATTCCCGGTTACAAATTTTTAAATATATTTCATACGTACCCAATTTTTCAATTATATGCTTAACTTAATTGAGTTGGTCTAACATAACTACTATTTAACTAACTACTATGTAAAGATTTTACAATACAATACAATTTCTTCTTCACTTTGTTTCTTACACTAAATTGTGCAGACTAAATTTCTAACTAGAATAGAACAGTCAACCGTAGTATTTAATAAAACTATATTATATTTTCTAATTCATTCTTGCTTTAATTTTTTGTAATTCCAGAAAATTTCATTACCAACTTCTAGTTAATATACAAAATTTTTTTTCAGGATGAGTAATCCAACTTGTACTGATGAAGAAATAATCGTTGCTGCTAAACAAGCTTATTGTCACAAATTTATTGAAAAATTACCAGAGGTATGTTATTTCAAATATAATACCTAGTAGCAATATTATGCGAAGGATAAGCAAGCTGAAGTGACAATGGGCTGGTCACATAGTTTGAAGAACCGACGACCGATGGTGAAGAGAGTTTCTTGAGTGGAAACTGCGTATGGACAAACAAGTAACGTTTTTCCTCTCACTAGAGATGACACTCTGACTAGAGGGACGAACTCAAATGTATTGCAGGAAGTCAGTGGATTCAGGTGGCTCAGGATCTTTCCTTATGGCAGTTTATGGGAAACGCCTATGTTCAGCAGTGGACAGATAATGACTGAGATGATTATGATAATGATTAATAATAATATTACATTGTCTATGTTATTTAATCCTTCCAACAATTCATGTACATCCCCCTAAAAAAAATGTAGGCACATTTTCATTTTATTCGTACATATTTGTCTCAGTAGAAATATACGTAGTACCTAAATGGTAATTCTATTATTTCAGTGGAACCTATGTATTAATGATTAGAAAGATCTACTTAGTTGCTTCTTTTTTTCAATTTAGATACAAATTATGATTCATTTAGTGAAAAAGATTCTTCTTGGATCAAAAATCATTCAAATTTTGTTAGGTACACCTTAACTTAAACTTCAGGGCTATGACACATTAATTGGCGAACGCGGTGCCCAACTGTCTGGTGGACAGAAACAGCGTATTGCTATTGCTAGAGCTCTAGTCCGAAGGCCTAAAATCTTACTATTAGACGAAGCCACATCAGCCCTTGACTCGCACAGTGAGGCGAAGGTCCAGAGAGCATTAGATGCAGCCGCTCACGGCAGAACCACTGTTATGGTGAGCCACAGGTAGATATAAACTATACAGTTTGTATTGATGATTTTATTTTTCAAATATATATAACATATATATATATATATATATATATATATATATATATATATATATATATATATATATATATATATATATACCGAGTTTCGTTGTTACATGCAATTTATAAAGGTTCCCTTTTTGACAATGACTTCACTGTGATATTTTTTATATTGAACTTTAAAATTTCATAAAATAAGAACAGTGTTGATGAATAAATAACTAATCCAGCCGATCTAGATTTGAATTAGAAATCTATGTTACATGAGTTTCTAAAAATCTCTCACGGTTTATAAATTTTACAATACAATATTTGAGTTTAATGTGGTGACGCTGACACTTAGTGTAACTTTAAACTCTCGTACTTTGTTAGTACTCTTTAACTTTAAATTAATGTGAGAATACAAGTGTTTTATATTCAGAGTAATTTTAATATGTATTTGTCAATATTGTAGATTAGCAACAGTCCTAAATGCAAACCGCATTATATTTATCGATAAAGGCGAGGTGGTAGAGGAAGGTACACATGAAGAATTGATCGAACGAAAAGGCAGATATTATCATTTAGTTTTGGAGAATGAACCTAGTATGGCGCCACCATCATCTAATAATCAGAAACGTATGTAAAATTTTCTAATCCATTATTGTTCGATATTAAATAACATACATGTTAATAATCCTTTTAATGAAAAGGAGTATCGTTGATTGAAGATAAAACAACATAATGAACATCAAAAATTAATTTACCAAGATCAAACATTCATGAATACAATGTTTCTTTTTCACCGATTATTTAATTACAATTTGTCTCTACTATATATTTTGTATTAATGATTGCGCTATATATCTAGTCTTCAGAACAAAGAACAATCAAGTTTAAAAAGGACATCACCAACCATAAATGCAAAATTTTAATAATTTTTATCACATACTCCACTACATTTATCTATATTTTAGCGCCTTATTTTGCATTAAAATATAAGTACTTACTATTGATATACTTGATCTCTCACTCTACTTTCTCTTTTATTTTTATAGCTTTAACTGGAGATTTGAATGCAGCTTCAAATCCAGGTTTTCAATTACAATCATAATGTTTGTTATTGTTTTAGCTTTGCTTATTTTGTACCGCAGCAATTTACCTATATGCATGCTTTTCCTCGTTTTGATTAAAAATTTTATTACCTATAATATTTTTCTTGTTTTATATATTTTCTTGTGTATATTCTCTTATCTTGACAGATTTTCAATGCAAATTTTAATTTACGCATTTATTAACTACTAAATAAATTTATTTACAGTTTGCAAGTCATAAAAAAGTTTTATATTATTTTTTTATATAATTTCTTTTAAATATCTTGTGCATCTGTATGAATTACCTAGTATTATATTTTTTATAACTTTAATTTTGCGTGGATAATGATGTATGTTGTGATTAATAACCTTAATATTAACAATTAATAATAATCTTTCTCATTTAAAATATTACTTTACTTTTCTGTTTGTATGCATTATAAGCTTGGAGACAACGCTTTTTTTAAAACGCATAATATATTTATCTAACAATTATGCTTATTATTTCAAATTATTTCTAGATGCTAAATTTCATCGGCCAAAACTGCAAAAATTGGCTTCTGTCGAGTCTATAATGTCTACAACAACAGACGACTCTGACTCCGAGGACAGTGTGGTTCTCGAAGACCAGAATGACCAGGAAATGAAGCCAACTACGTGGCAAATAATGAAGTTGTGCGAACCGGAGAAATACTTAATGGTGATCGGTGTATTAGCGGCTTTCGCCGTGGGATCCAGTTTTCCTATGTTCGCTGTACTATTCGGAGAAACTTTTGGCGTAAGCTATATTTTTATATAAATATACATATTATTATATATATTACGCATATTAATGATCTATAACAATTTATGTATATCGTAGTACTTGTAACGTGTGTATTATCACAAAATTAAAAAAATTTATACAAATTAGATATCAGATCCATCGTTCATATTTATATTCACCAGAGGATGGATTATTATATAGCAGTAGTTAGTCAATGGACTTGCCATTGACTGACTGCCGCTAGGTAACATAAGTGGTATCTGCAGAACTAGCTCAGGATATTGACAGGAGGATGGTAGTAGTCTACAGAGAAGGTTTACGTATTGAAAGACCAGAATTATTTCAATTTGGCCTTCCACTATATACCTACATATAGTGAAACAATAAAATTATACAGAGACTATATATAGAATTCTACACTTCTGAGTCGTAGCTAACTTCATCGTCTTATAAGTTAGTTATTTATGAAACTGAAATCTGTCCTTTTGCAGTTACTGGAAAGCAAAAATAACGATTGGATACGTGGCGAGACAAATGTAATTGCTATTTTGTTTCTAATTGTGGGCGTGATGACTGGACTCGGTATTTTTTTCCAAATATTTATTTTCAACCTTACTGGCGTGAGGCTAACAGCTAGGCTCAGGTGAGTTATATTTAAGATAAAGATATGCTTATGGTTTTAACGTTTTATGAGATAGTCAGGGACATTTGACAGCTGTTACCAATGTAGTTAATGTACTACTCAACATAGTTTTATTTCATCGAACATACGTAGGTCCAACATAGCAAAGAGAAACCATGCCACAGTTCTTGAGATTGATTTGGATTATTCAATGTTTTTTATCATTATTTACTAAATTCTTACTAGCCAAATTGTACAGGGCAGAAAGATTATTTTGATATTCGTTTGTCTGTAAATTTATACTACATAAATAAATCTTTTATTTTCTCCAGCCTTCACCTAGATACAAATAAATAAACATTGTTTGTACAAAAATACAAAAAAGAAGAAGAAAATGATGCTAAGTTGCAGGAAAAGCATTTATAGCAATGTTTCTTTCAGGGTGGCAGCCTTTGAAACAATGTTGAAACAAGAAATAGGATGGTTCGACGATCCTTCAAACGGAATCGGTGCTCTGTGTTCACGATTAGCAGCAGACGCTGCTGCTGTCCAGGGTGTGAGTATCATGGAATACTAATAACCTCACGTTTCCGTTGACGTGAAATTAAATTCTAAATTATCCCAACAAAATGAACCTACTTCTAAAATAAAAATGATTGTATGCTTTTGTAAATAATATGAAGTATCTATATAAATATATCTGATGCGTCTGGTGACGTATGGGTAAGGAGGCAACATATTACCACTTCTTCTCATTCCCTGGATTTCGTAACACGAGACTAACAGAACAAAACGATGTATATTAAAGCAAAAGAAAGAAAACTTGGAATAAAATCTTATACCCAAGCCGTGCCTAATGAACAATTTATCACATCTTGTATAGTATTTTTTCTTCTTTACGTATAGTAATGTAGTACCGGATTAGAATTGAGGAAACAATCCATTTTAAATTAGTTCGGGTCTAGGCCAATATCTATATTATATATCGATATTGGCTGGTGTCTTATAAGATAGGGCAAGGTCCAAAGGATTGGTATGATTGTAAGGCAATTATTATATTATTATTATCTTATTCAATGGTTTTTGCATGAAAACAATCCTATGGTATCCATTATAACCTTAGTCGGTAGGTATTTGCCTAGGTAAGGTACGTAACTGCACTACTAATCGGTATATAATAATTATTGAGTATTAGCTATATCCTGCAATTTTTCTTACAAAAGTTAGTATAAAAAATAACCGGATTAGGGTAAAATATAGTTAATCGAAACTCATTGAAATCCGTTGTATTAGTATAAAATAGAATTTAGGATATAGTTCATTGATATGATTGAATACCAAACGTGTTTGCAAACCATCATACATTCTCCAGGCCACAGGCTCTCGTATCGGTGCGTTGATGCAAGCGACAGCGACCATCGTGATTGGCATAACCCTGTCTATGTACTATACATGGCAGATGACACTAGTGTCGCTTGTGTCGGTGCCCATGGTCATTGTGGCCGTACTCCTCGAAGGCAGAGTACTCTCAGCCGGGATGGATATGGTCCGGAAGTCGTCGAATAAAGCGACGACTATTGCCACCGAGGCGATTACCAATATCAGAACAGTGTCCGCTTTTTGTAAGTTCCTTTAATGTTATATAATTGAAACAATCATAGTTAAAAGTCACTTCGATATCATCTAAAGCTCTTTAACAGAATTACATTTTATTTCATCTACTTTCAATAATACTGTTGCTTCTAGATATTACCAGTAAAGTAATTTTAATATTGTTGTAAAAATAGTTTTATCGTAGATCCTGACCATGAACTCGAAAGACTGCTATAAGCATTCAACATTGTAAACTTTACTTGAAGACTTTACAATATAAACATAAAACTTTCACATCTTTTGGGGTGATATTAATAAAAATTAGCTATGATTAATTAATTTGTTTTTAATTTCCACGTAGAATCGCTTATGTTGTGTAAATTTGGTGTGAATCATTTATCAAACTTTAGCTTTGTCCTGTTAAATACTCTAATATTGGAAATCTAGACAATTATCAGACTATTCCAATTGTAAATAGTAATTAAAGTATATTGTATGTACAATTTTAAAACGTATATTGATTAATATTTAAATTCTTGTTGTGTAGGTTAAAAAAGCCTAAAACTAACAAAAGTTTTGGCAGAATTGACAGAAAACTACGTCTTTGCTATTTCCTTAAAGGCTGATGCAAATCGTTATTAATGTTAATGCGCGTCAGGTGGCGAAGACGGAGTCCTAAGCCGCTACCAAAAGGCAGGCATAGAGGCTCGCAATGAAGCCATCAAGAGCATGCGATGGCGCGGTTCAGTGTTTTCATTTGGACAAACGGCCCCCGTCGCCGGATACGCGCTCTCTCTCTGGTACGGCGGTGTGCTCGTCGCTAACAAGGATGTGCATTATAAAGATGTCATCAAGTAAGTTTGCACTCAAAATTATGGTTAATTAGTTTGTGCACAATCCATCTGAAGGAGCAGTATTGTCTCACTTTTCTCCAGTCAAGCAACTATTTGCATAATTGTGTCGGTTTGAAAGGTGTGACATTTCAGGGCACAGAGACATCTCATAAGTAATAATACAGGGTATTACATTATCATGGGAATCAGTATGGGTATATGTTGTCCATAGTGTTGTTTTTAACAAAATCTCCATCACAAAATTGAATAGTAAATTTATGCTTATTGTAAAAATGTACTTTTTCAAAGCATTTAGCAGTAATAAATATAATATATACTCGTATGACTTTGAAAAGAAGAAGTTATCTTAAATCTTATCTCTAATTGTCCATCATTATTAATATTTAAAAAAAAGAAAAATAATTAGTTCAGTAACTTCTAGATCTCGCTAGAACCCTAATTGTATAAACTAACCCAAACAGGTTAACCAAGTATTTAGTTAGTTTAGTACACTATTATGGACCCACAGACAAACTAAATGTTCTGGGCCATCCATTGCACTCCTCATTACTCAGAAAATTAGATATCACTTCCCTCTTCCTCAGGGTATCAGAAGCGCTGATATTTGGTGCATGGATGATGGGACAAGCGCTGGCGTTTGCCCCCAATTTCGGTGCAGCCGTGAGCGCGGCAGGCCGCGTGATGACGCTGCTGCAGCGGCGGCCGCTCGTCGAGAGTACACATGCACCCGCTATAGCCGAAAACTATGTTAGTACGCAGCTTGATCATCCGTGTGACGATAGAGTCTTCATTTTTGTCCAATGTATCTTAGTTCCCTTTCATCACCGGAACGTAAAAGAAGAAACTCTAAATAAAACTTAGCTATTAACCTGGCCAACATGATAATAGAAATAAACCTCTGCCCGGCAATGAAACGTTAGTGGGTTGTTACTATATGAGCTATATATTTACCAGCTTCATCGTGCCTACATATTTCACTGTCGAACCTCCAGATTAGATTATTAATTCTAATTACAATGACGAATTTAATGCAATTTACATACTCTAACGACAAAAGTATTGACGGGACACTTTTTTTTAATTTTTACTGATTTTTTATTATCACAATTTAGCCAAAAATCCAATTTGACAAAAAACTGTAGATTGAGAATTAAGAATTTTAGAGTACAAGTAAAATTAGGACAATAATTATTGCATACCTATTACTTCTTAAAGTTCTAACTTTGTTTTCTCTCTTTTGTGAAGCTGTTAGTACTATTACTTTTTATTAAATAGTACATTTATATTGCTATAGGTGGCCGAGGGGAAGATTCAGTACAAAAATATAAAATTCCGATATCCGACAAGGCGAGAGGTTGAAGTGCTCCGCGGACTTTCTTTATCGATACCAAGTGGAAAGCGAGTCGCCTTAGTAGGACCAAGTGGCTGCGGCAAATCCACTTTAATACAATTACTGCAAAGATTGTATGACCCTGATGATGGCAATGTGGTAAGTTATATAACTACTGCAGGTACTGAATTTGTTATTTTGTTTAATTCCTCCCCCTATCCATATGAATCAGCTTATGTAATGTAAAAAAAATCTTGTAAAATCATGTTCTATCGGTAATATTAATTAGTTAACGAAGCATGAAATGCCAAAATACAATTAATTTCTTACAATACAGAAAATTTTAAATTAAATTCGTCACAATATTATAACTTCTATGTTCTACATTCTCAGTACCTGGATGATTATAGCATCACAAATGATATGCGACTCTCAACTCTGCGTAAAAACTTGGGCATCGTGTCCCAAGAGCCGGTGCTGTTTGACCGGACAATAGCAGAAAATATAGCGTACGGGGACAATACTAGGGTTGTTTCTATCGAAGAAATTGTAACAGCTGCTAAGGCTGCTAATGTGCACTCCTTCATAACTGCATTGCCCACGGTAAGTTTGTTACTTCAGGTACAAAAACATTTGAAACCATTTTCCAATAATTCATATAATAATTCAATTACATTTTCTGGGCATACCACGAATTCAATCCATCTTCATCAATTTTGAACCGTTATTAATATTATTTTTCTGTTCTGTAATTATTGTGTAACTCCGCCGTACATTTGTTTAATTGTGACATCGCAAAGATTTCATCATGATTACTCACTACTTCACCACAATAGAGTATACAAAAGCAGTAAATTTTGCAACGATAATTTTCTGCATTACAAATTTAAATTTAGAACCCTTTTTACTGGTATCTACCTGTTTACTTTAATCATATGAATAAATGTTATACAAATGACTTCTGATCAATTTAAATGTATCTGTTTTGGCTGTTTGAAAACTTTGAATCTAACATAAATTTACATCATTAGGGATACGACACCAGAATTGGAGCGCGTGCATCCCAGCTATCAGGTGGACAGAAGCAGAGAATTGCTATAGCGCGTGCCCTGGTGAGGAATCCCAGGGTTTTGCTGTTGGATGAAGCCACTTCTGCCTTGGATACCCACAGTGAAAAGGTACAAAAATTTTTTTAGAACCTTTTGAAATTCACGTCTAAAGTTCCAATTTCATTTGGTCATAATTTGAATAGGACATAATCTAGTTTAGACACATTGATGGCATCATAATAATATAAAAAAATTCTAATAACGAACTTATTCAATTATAAAATATCAAGAAAAATTTTAAGATTCAACCACGAAAACGTTGGGTTTATATTATGAGTCTGTCACTAACAATAAATGTGTTTGAAGAGCTATGACTTTTTGAAAACTTAAATTAGAAAAAACTATTAATAACTACTTCTACAAATTCTCTCATTGTCATTAACAAAATTAGGATATCTCAAAAATCTGAATGCAAATAGCTCCATATTTTCTGACGAAATATGAGGTAGATCTTGTTCAGAAGTGGACGATGTATTGAAATGATGATGATGCCATTTTCTTTTCCTATTTCGTGACCTCTTGACCCTACCGTAAAAATATTTAAGAAAGATAATGACTTTATCTGGCTTCCATTTTTCCAACTGAAGAATTTAATTTCACATTCAGATAGTACAAGAAGCTTTGGACCGCGCGAGCGAAGGTCGCACCTGCCTGATTATAGCGCACCGACTAACGACCATACAGAACGCCGACATGATCTGCGTGGTGGACCGCGGTGTGGTCGCCGAAACCGGTACTCATGACCAGCTTATAGCTAGTAAAGGCATATATGCCAAATTGTACGAGCTACAGTGCGGATTCGTAGAAGAAAGTGACGAGAACGTAGAAAATGCTGCTGCTTGATTCAGTGAGGATGATTTGTAAACGTGTCTCTATAGAGATTAAAGGTGTTCAAAGTACACAATACTGTATCACGAGATTAGACCATCAATACGCCAATTATAAAATCATAGTATTGGATACGCAAAATATCATAGTACGCCTAATGCCGAATATCAAAGCGCAATATCAACTAGATTCGTTAAATATAGTAAAAAAATAGGATTTCATAAGATTTATCTTACTAACATGAGATTTCTTCTCGTGTTTCTATTCTGGAAATTATTGATTTTAAAACAGAATATTCATGTAAAAATCGATTATGCTGCGCTAGACGTCGTGTTTCGCATTTTTAATGCTTCAAATTGTGCCTTAACAAAGTAGCGAGTCGCAAAAATAACTACATATTGTGGTGTGTTCGTTCAATTATAAAAGTTAACAAATTTTTGCCTGTGTTATGCTACAACTTAATTGCTAATCATACCTCATCGTAAAAATTAATAAAGGAACCCACAATAATGGAACATTGGAAACCATATAATCTTTTAAGTAAAAATGCACTTAAATCTACCTACCTAATAAGTGGCAGCGAAAAACTTGGTACGTGAGGAATTAGAAAACGGTACTTACCTACAAAACATCTTTAAAAATATGATTTAGATAACGAGTGTATATCCTAATGTTCATTGAAAATCGTTAATATTAATATAACTGTACACTTCTAATTGAACTAGTCATTTCAGAACTGCCAAATTATCCGAAATCCTATAACTACTGCTTTGTAGATATTATAAGTATAAATATAACCTAACCTAACCTAAACAATAAAATCCAAGCATTCCCATTTATTTCTAGACCCAGAACATTCCCTTAACCCTTAAAAATTAGCTCTAGTTATATACCTATTTTGTAGAAGCTTTTTTTGATTATATTTATACAGTTTGTGTTATCCTTTTTTAAAAGATTTTATGTAATTATAAATATCTTTAAAATATACCTCAAATAATTTATTCACTATTTTACTTACATTTATAATTTTGAATTTTGTGTAATGACTCGATTTGGACAATGGTTGGATGTCCTTGAAAAATGATATATATTATATAAGGATGTATGTATTGATTACACTATTACTATTCTTAAAAAATTATAAATTTTCAGTGCCTACATGAAAAAATCTTATGGCATATAAATAATAATGTTATTACTACTTATTAATTCAGTATTTTAAAGGCATCTTTTAGCATTTTCTAGCAGTAGGTAAAAAAATCTATAAGTACATATATCGTGTTTCTGAAATAATGTACGCTCAATTAAAACAACCAATGTTATTTTTATATTGTTATTTATCTATTAATGTGTGTAATTCTTGTATTGTAAACATATATAAAAAGTTGTATAGAATAAAATGAGATTATGAGTATGTTGGCCAAACTTTATTTTATTTCCTATATAAAAATATTATAATAATAAACTATTGATTTTATATGATTTATCAAAGAATATTCTTATAAGAAACGCATGTTATAGTCTTATTAAAGTCATCTAGGACATTACCACATCTTGAAACAACATTGCAGTATGAAATCAATATACAGAGATTTGCGCCTACGTCTTTCCACTCTTCTATTTTCCAACGACCTAATTATTGCTATGCTGTAGCTATAAATTTATACGGAAATACATGGAATTTTTTTATGATACTATTAGCTATACGGATATTTTTTGGTTAATAATGAAATGATATTGCTCTCTTTATAGTTTCTTACGACACCTACGGGAAAATAAGGGATGGCCCATTCTACACTGGGACCTATAATTATAATTGATTAAATTGAATGTTAAAGATTTACAAGAGCGTTTATATTGCCAAAATAAAAGAAATTCCTAGACTGATAGGCTTATTTATATACATAACAAGGAATATTCCTAACTGTATCCTGATATCAAATATAATACTTAAGTCATATTCTTACTATATTTATTATTTTCACAAACAAAAACACAGGGTAAACTCCACAATTTCACCATATTGTAGACCTCAAATATTTGACCTTGGTTAGCCGCACCATCGCCGTACAATGAAAAGTTGTCATCTTGTATTTGTGAGCGAATCCTACAATATTCCTAAATACTTGGTTTAAGGAGTAAAAATAAAATCACAGTTCCCAAAAATCTAATTGATTGCAAAAATGTAAAAAATTTGGCCACAACAGCAGCTCTATCGTACCTACATACATATATGCCATTCATATGTCGTAATTACCTACTTATATTAGTTTAACGACAGTAGAATTGTTAAAATCATTATCTATATATGACGTACCTACTCATATAAATGTAAATAAAATAGAATGTGAAAAGACTATAAGTGACGCACTAGTGTGTCAAATAGTTGGGCTCATTAATGACTCAATAATTTCTAACTGCTTAAAAATATTTTCGCTTAATAAAGTAAAAATAACATGAACAGTAAACATCGTCGAGACCCTAGCTCCAACTATACCATTGCCTCCGAAAAAGTTCTTGGTAAACATATGCATAGACTCTCCTTTGCCCCTGCAACAGCCTGACTTGCGGGCTGTGAGTTCGGCCAACACACCCAGTAGACTACCTCCCAACAGATACGTCCACCCGTGACACCTGTATGACGTGATCGATGTATACATGCCACGCATCGCCGCGTGCATACCTATAGTGACAGCTTCTTGACCTAATGGAACAATAAATTATTAGCCGGCGGTTAGCAATAGGGTTTAACAAACCTGTTGCTGGGGTGAAAGAGATTGCTAGTAATGAGAGTATTAATCGCCATTGCTAGCAAATATAGCGATAGCAATCAGGTCGTCCTCCATATGGCTTCCCCTGAAAACCATCGTAATTAATGCACCAGACAGAATATGAAGTATATTTATTTAACTGCATAAATGTATATACAGCGTGATTGGTGTAAAAGACAACTTGCTGGATAGTTCAATTTAGATAGAAGATAGAAATTTGTTCATATAATAAGTAATATTAGGTGTAATATTGTAACCTTAACTTCAAAAGTAGCCTCCTTTTTAGTACTATTCTCATACTATATTACTGGATATGTTGGTTTCTGTAAAATCAATTATAGTTGAAAATGGCAAATAAAAGATGGAAAGATGCTTTTGAGATTTGTCAATTTGTTTAGGAATTAATATTAAAAAAAATACCGCTGGAAATATTGCACAACCCCCCCCCCCCTAGATCTAAACTAAGCAGAGCTATGGGTATTAAATAAGTACTAGTTAGTCTTAGTTTTTCTTTTTTAAATACATTATTTTTTTAATTGATGATAATGGAATGGCAACCGGGGGGAAAGGGATTGTTAGTAATGGAGTTTGACAGCCCCATTGTTAGCAATATGCCTTATTAGGTCGACCTCCACGTGGTTCCCCCTGGAAACCATCGTAAACAATTCTTGTTGAATTTGTCACGATGGGCTAACTGACCTGCTTCATCCTCACCTATCATCCTTCACTGGTGCCCCGCCGGTGTATTCCGATAGCGCGGGTGGGGTTACCATTCCATTATCATCCATTAAAAAACAAATGGAATGGCAACACCACCTGTGTTAATAGTATATCACCAGTAAAATATTATAAATTAGAATGAAAAGGCTGGTCAATTAACCTATCGTGATGAATACACCTGGAATTCAGCACGATGGTTTCCAGAGGCGACTACGCGGAGATCGGCCTGACAGGGTATATTATTTATCGTTGAATTCATCATGATAGGCTAACTGACCTGCCTTTTCATCGTCACCTATCACCTCTCACTGGTACCCCGTCAACGTAAACCGATAGCGCAAGCGGGGTTACCATGCCATTTTCACCCACTAAAAAAAGATAGGCTATATTGCTAGCAATTGGGCCCCATTATTAGCAATCCCTTTTTCCCGTGAGATATGTCTTAAAGTCGGATAAATAGGAATACATAGAAGTGGTAGTACATACCGACAATGAGTTTATAGCCAAATTTTTACAGGTAAATGTAAAAATTGTTTTCATCGTTTTTATTATTAAATCCTCGAGGTAATTCAGGTTTTATAAATTCATACTTATCACGGTTTAAGTAGACAGTCCAGTCTATAAACGATCCTATGTGTATTATAACAAGTATAGATTAAATTTTAATTACAAAGTACATTTTATACAGCAAATTGTAACTATTAATGGCCTAACTACTAAGAAATATTAACGATACAAACTCGATTGTAATTGTGGTTTAAATGACGTAAATTCATCATTAATATTGACATACTGTAGTCAATAACTCTATTAGATGTACAAAGAAAAAAGTTTATACCTACTAGAAATTAAGAATTATGAAGAGAACAGCTGTATAGGCAGAGTTCTTTTGCGTATCTCAATGCACGAAAATTTTAAGAAAAAAAAATCTCCGTTATAATTGTATAAAACGGAATACCTAATTAGGTATAATTATGATAAATTTGTTACACACATAGTAGTTGAAATGGACGAGGTGGCGAGTAAAAACTAGTAAATTAACAGAGACTTTAAATTTACCAACGTATTTGAGAGAAAAAAAAAGAACAATATTGATGTCTTTTTAATTTAATAAACAAAAGGTAGGTTTTACATTTGTAAACTTAGTCCCAAACTTAATTGGCATTAAAAAATTATATCAAGTATTATTCTGATAACAAAACTGTATAAATAAAAGTATATTTACAAGGAAAAAATATTTTAATCTCACCATTAAAAAGTAGGCTTCTTAACAAAAATGAAACAAATGATTTCCTGTTTTTAAATGTACAGTTATGCACTAAAACTAACATACAAATATTTGTTAAAAAAGATATTTTTACATTTTATTATATGTAAAATATATTTATCCAATCATGCGATTGTCTTTTAATAGCTTACAATGATTTTGGCAGTATCACTTTCTCTTAGGCTTTTATACATCCATATTTTATAACGTTTTGCTAACTAGTAAGTATTCTCCTAAATAAGCTAATATATCTAGTATGACGGATTACAATCGAACACGAATTCTTTCGTTTTAAAATAAATACTATTATTAACAGTTTACTGTCATTTATTCAAAATATAATGAATGATATTTTTAAATGTGTTAAATCAATAATGGTAAACAGGTATATTTTTAATATTATACAGTAATATATAAACTATACTTTAAAAATATACCCTGCCAAATATTATATAATATTGTATACATTTAAAAATAAATTCAAATTATTTACAAATTCATCACATACGAAAATCAGTTTACAATGTCATTCACAATAAAAAACAATTGTTTTATTTCTAAAACAAAGAAACGTGTTCTGTTCGCCATGTGCATGCCTCTAAAAAGTCTAAATGTATAAACTAAATATATGTAGGTAGTCAATTATTGGGATCATATTATATGCTGGTTGAAATATACGTTTTATAAATAACACAAACCGTGCCATCCTCTTCTAACCTTATAAAGATGAAGAGGATATCATGAATTTGATCTAGATTTCAGAATTAGCATTCTGTAACGGGATAAGAGACCTTATAAACTTATTAATAAGAACTAATTTCGTGCAGAGACCTCTATGTGCTGCAACGGCGAGTCGGGGCTTACACCGCGGATTTCAGGCTCTAAATTGTTGTAGTAGATATCTGCGGCGAGCTCCTCCGGACCTATTTCACTGTCCGACTTAGCTATTTTAGTTGCTTCGTCCACCTCCTTACGAACTCTAGTGTCGATTTCCTGTTATAAGAAAAATTTAACAAAATTAAGTTTTTTTTTTATACAACTTCGAATGGCAAAGAAGCTGACGGCCCATCTGATGAAAAGTGGTAACCGTCATCTATAGACATGAGGAGTACCATGGACATAACAGAGTATACTGTTTCGCCCATGATACCCCCATGCGTTGCCATTCCTGAGGATTCAAGTAAATTAAAATTTTAAATTCAAATGTTTAGTTTTATATTCCCCCAAGATACATTGGCGAGTAAAAATATAAAAGTAAAATACCATTTACATTAAACGACATACTTCGCCGTTCACAGCGTAGTTTCGCTAGCGACACAGTAACAATTTATAGAGTGGGTTATACCCACTCTATAAATTGGATGAATTTGAGAAGCAAAAATAAAATGTGCCACATGACATCACAATGTAATAAAGAATGCCACATTAACTAAATGAGGCAATAATTTTTTTTATTTTATGTGTTTGCTTTTCATGAATTACTCAAGCTGTGCACATAATGTAATTGGATTATAACCTAGCCGAATCACAAATGTAATTATTACTCAAGTTTTTTATAGTTGTGATCTGTTTTATGTGCCAATAAAATAAAATAAAATTATATTTATATATAAATATTCAGCAGTGGAAAGTTAACAGCTGATATAATGATGATATGGTGAAAAAAAAGGACTAATATCTTTAGTAAATCAGAAAAATATGCATTAATTACCTTTAGTTGATCAGGTGTAGCCAATTCATAAGTGATTATCTTCTCCTTGAAAGAGGTGATGGGGTCTCTCGTCTGTCTGACCTCCTGTACCTCGTCGCGCGTTCGGTACGATGTACCAGGATCCGACATCGAGTGGCCAGAGTACCTGTATGTCTCCATCTCCAATAGTAGCGGACCTGAATAAAATTATAGAATAAGTTTATTATTTCACTCTTTATATATTTAGTAGGAAAAAAACAAATACCTAAATATTATGATAGTTAATAATAACTAGATATTAGAGGCATGACTCGCGTATTCATTAGAGACTAATGAATTCTTGAAAATGGAAGTCATTACTGCCTACGTCCCATGATGAAATATCACTGAGAAAATTTCAGCCATACATTACATTAGCTTTTACCCGCGATTTTGTTTGCATTTACTAGGATATATTTACTAGACAAAATAAAATATATATGCCTATATCTTTCTGCATCCCATATAGTATCTATATACCAAATATCATAATGATTGGTTAAACTATAAACTTAGTTTTACATTTATAATACTAATAGGGATAAACAACAATTCTAGGGCTGATGCTTACCTTTACCACTGGTACAATAATCGATAGCGAACTGTGTAGCCTCTCTGGTTGCCAGTACATCCATACCATCCACCCAAATACCAGGAATGAAATCACCACGCGAATAATAGTCTGTACTTGCAGAAGAACGTTCTATACTGGTACCCATACCTGGAGCAAAGGTTTTGTTACTAAATATAATGTCGCGTGAGATAACAAAGCAACTTCACAAAGACGGTTATTATTTGACTTGTATTTTTTTAATAGTTTTTTAATGTATGATGCAAAATAGTCTTAGGTTAGTCATTGTTGTACTAGCTTATAGTAATAGTTGGTTTTTTGTTGGTATAATTTTTGTAAAATAAAAATTTATTTGTAATACAAAAGATAAGGCAACTTTCAATGCTGATAGGATTAAACTCGCTTTCAATGCCGCAAGAAAATTAAATCCCTTTTCAAAGCTGACACTCGAAAAAGACTAATTACATACATTCTATATTGATCTATTAAAATATTACTAATACTGATTGCATGATATAAAAAGAAAAATTTCTCACCATATCCATTATTCTCACAGACAAAGACACACGGCAGATTCCACAGTTTGGCCATATTGTATGCTTCAAACAATTGTCCCTGGTTGGCGGCGCCGTCGCCGTACAATGCGAAGTTAACACCGCCGTCATCATTGTACTTGTGGGCGAACGCGATACCTGCACCTAGTGGTACCTAATATTACAAATTAAATATGTATTAGATATCAGGAATTCATTGAGAATTCTAGAATATTTACTAATCCATACTAAAACCAGCTATATCCTTCTTCATTGCTTATATTTTGTACTAGCCATTTCCCGCGGCGTTGCCTGCTTCTAACTATGTAGTTCTCGTATATCATTACCATTAGAACTCTTTATGAATCCGATCTTATATTGTATTATATACTTAAATGATAATTACGTATCTGATACCTTCGTAAAGTTTCAGCCAATTAAACTGATCGGTAATTTTATAGCATTTTATATGTGATTTTTTAGATTGATATAACTTTTTTATTTATGAACAGATTGAAATAAAAAAAACACTAAATGGAGCAAATGGCAACGCATTAGTAAAAACTGCATTCGGATCGATTAAACCCTTTCTAAGATTAGCGTACACATTTGTTTGCATGTCTGTAGAAACCTACAGACATGCAGACAAATGTGTAGGTTTCTACAGACATGCAGACAAACAAATAAAAAGTAAAACATACCTGAGCACCGACAATACCATTGCCACCATAGAAGTTCCTTCCATATAAATGCATAGATCCACCCTTCCCTCGAGAACAGCCAGACTTGCGGCCAGTGAGCTCAGCCAGCACACCCACTAAATCAACCCCCATTAAATGCGTCCATCCATGGCAGCGATATGCAGTGATCACAGAATCAACATCACGCATAGCTGTGCGCATGCCCACAGCAATCGCTTCTTGACCTGATAAGTTATAGATGAAACATGTTTACTTCACTATAAGCATAACAATAAATATGCAGGTAGAATTAACACCCGTGGATTAAATAATAATAAGTATGTACATTGGCTTGCAAGCAACAGTCATGGCATGTCACAGAGAAAAATATAAAATGTTTGTGAAATTTGTAAAAAGCAAACCTTGCAAGAGTACATTTTAATGGTATTAGAGCATCTACCGAGTGAAATATATTAATGTTGTTTTTGCCAGATGAGTTTTGACTAAAATTTTTTTTTTGTATCTTACATTTAATTTCTGGTAACTAAGTTGTTGGACTAGTCAAAAAGGTCAACACAGTTTCAAGATTAAGTTGTTGTGTGTGGTGAGCAGTTTAATTTTTTTCCTGTCTACAATAAACAAGACATAATGAAATTCCTGTAATGCCTGTACATTACAGAAATTTAAATTTGTTTTATATAGAAAGGTAAAATATATCTTTGTATCTTGTAATTTTACTGTCATATATAATCAAAATTTAAACAAAACTAAATCAATTCATGTAAATTACATAAATTATTATCCTATCTAAGTAACATTTAAATTTTAAAAAGAAATTGAGAAAGACATACCTGAATATAAATGACAAAAGCCTCGGATTATTTTTTCCTTATACAGGTTTCCTGCTGAGGTTTCAATTCTACGCAGCATTGCTAATTTCTCATATATATTGATTGCATCTTCTGCAGTGAGAATTACTGATGTTGCAGGACCCTTCTCCAATTTATGGAGTTTGTAGGGCTACAAATATATTACAGCACTGTTACTTATTTAATATTCAAATTAAGTAAAAACTATAACAATTTTTAAGGAAAAATAAGACAAAAGGATTAATCAGACACAAAACATGAATATATATATTTATCTATACATGTAATAACAAAAATATATTAAAAAGATTGACATTTTTGCAAAATGAAAACCTGAATATCTACAAAACGATTGTACTTTTATTGTAATTGATTTTTTTTTTTAATATTAATTTTAACATATGGTAAAAAATATATCCTATATAATATTAATATCCAAAATGAATGAAGTTAAAATAGTGTGCACAAAAACTATTTAATTTGTGTGCACACTATTTATTGGAGTACATCACAAGATACTTATCTACTTAGTATCTTTCAAAACTGTAAAATGTTCATTCCCATATTAAGCACTCATGGACTCCTTCCTAAAGATTAGGATATAAGATTTATGGCAGCTTTAATTGACTACAATTACAATGGAGAAACTACTAAAAATCTAAATTAGTGTTGACCACAATAACGTTATTACAACTAATTTTAATGCAGTAAAGATATAAATGTTTAGATGTAGGATTATAATAAAACTATAAAATTTTGCAGGAAGTTAAATTCTAAAAGACAGGATTATAAATTAGACAATACCAAACACGTCACTGAGATTATCAACACAGTTACACATGACATTTGAAGGTTAAGTTATATAATTTCAACAAACTTAATACAATAATTAATATTATGATATAGGTTTATAAAAAAAATCTATTTAAATATATTTTAGTTACAAAATTTCAATGCCAATCTTTACCTTAATTTCAAATGTTGCCTCCTTTTTAGTACTATATTTTGCTGTCGATGTGGATACTATTGGAACGGCCGATTTCTGTAAATATATAATATCTATCAACGAAATGTTAATTATAAAAGCATTCTATCAGATATTATTTAATAATTTAAAGTGTAATATTGTAAAAGAGTGTTTACTTCATTAAATATGCAGTACGTACCGGAATAGTGTTTGTAGCCAGAAGTTTAGCAGCAGAGGGGATGATTTTACTCATTATGTCTATTAATGATTCAATATAACCCAGGTTTATTTAGTGATCCACACTGGGTGGGATCACTTATTGTTTATTCTGGACAGAAAAATATAATAAATAGCTCGCCAAACACGACGACTAGATCTTGAAAATGTTTTGACCTTTTTGACTCACTCGACAACAATGAAATGAAAATGACAGATGCCAAATATACAAGGACAAAAAGGTCATTCCACTCTAAGGCAAAGACAAAGACAATTTTATCATAGGATAAAAATTGGTTTGTGCTTAAGTGAATTAGTAAATAGAATTGTTTACTTAGGTTTATAATTAAGGTAGTAAATAATCTGTGTAGATGATATAAGATTGACATGTTAAAAAACAAAAATCTCATATTAAACGTAGATTAAAAAAATCCTAGGATCGATTCTTAATCTAAGTATATTTATAATCTTTGAGTTTTACCAAGAGTACGTTATAATGGTAGAATATCGAATGCTGCAAACTGGAACCATTAAAGCGTTTATGTTATAGTATCATATGAAAACTCGTATACGTACGTTTAGTATACGTGTAAAAATTCTCTAGTAATTATAGTCCCTTAGTTGTATTTATTCCTTAGTCTATGAACGACTAACTTTACATGTCATGTCAATTGTCAGGCCATGCATGTTATGTTAAAATGTCATGTACCGTGAATTGTTCAATTGGAATTGTGTTTTATGTTGTGAAATACTAAGTGGGTAATTAGTGATTGTCAATGAATAATTTCTTCACATGATGACGCATTAATATCGATATTTATGAAATATAAACAGTGTCACAATTTTAGCGACGTTATTGTTTTTTCGACTTCAATCTATTTTAAGTTATTTTTATTAAAATGGAATTTCCTCATATTGGCAAGAATTGTTCTTACAAATCATGTAATAAATTAGGTGAGTTTTTTTTTAATTAAATATATCAAATATTTTGCGTGTAAAGGTGAAATTGAAATTTTATAGGAAATAAATAACTATCAATAAATATTTGTTATAATAGTTCTTGTAACAAAATATTAGCAATATTTCTTGATGAATGTGATGACCAAAAAAAAATTTCATGATGTCATCATACGGAACACTGTCTTTGTTCTGGATCAAAATTTTAATTCCATGACTTTGTTCTACTGACTTGATTTTTTTTTATTAAGACCGAATATTTTTGAAATATATATGTATAATAGAATAATAAATTAGGATCTGCATATTAGCCTTCCTAAACGGCTCAAATTCCATAATCTATCCTCATGATGCATGTATAAATAATTTGCTCTTAATTCTGGGACTGATAGTAGATAAGAGAAAAGGATAGTCCTTGTAATGTAAATAGAATAACATTATTAATTTTGACTTTATGAACTATTTGCTGCCCATTTATATTAATATTATTTATCTATACTGTTTAAGTGATGCAATAAATTTATGCATAACATTAAATACCTTGTTTAAGATTCTTTGTTTTTATTTGCATAGCTTAACTAGCAGTATTCTGTAGCTTTAATATAGTATTTGTGTTCTAAATTTCATTAAAATTGATTAAGTTATTTCAGAGTTATTGAATAACAAATAGAGATCAAGACTCACCTTTATAATATTAATAGATCAAATGTAAATCCTTATTTTCACTTATTAATAGTACAATATCAATTTTTTTTTTCAGACTTCTTGCCTATGAAATGTGGTGCTTGTCGTGAAGTTTTCTGGTAAGTTCTGTAATGACAATTTTTTTGTGTAAGGACATGAGTAAAGAGTGAAACAGCAAATTTCACTCTACATCAACTGTACTTCTTAGTTCTTACTTATAATGTGGAACTCCTGTCTAAACTCAGTAGTATTGACTCTTCATTGATCAGGCAGTTTCTTCTCTTAAATATGAATTAATTAAAAATATTTCCAAATTTTATCTGAACATACCTAAAACTACAAACTGCCATGCTAAATTTTAATCTCATGAATTTAAATACTTGAAACTAATTATTTAATCAATCAAGTAATGTAACATATTTGAACATAAACTCTTATTTTATTTCATATTATTTAAGATAATTAACAAAAGAGCTCAATAACTGTTATAAGTGACTAAAGAGGCATTACATAATCAATCTTCCCAATCTCGCCATTGGGAGATGATTGTTTGGAAAAGTGTCCATCTGAATATAGTTTTTATATGCTCTGCTCATAAGATGAGATTGATTGCACATATTAAAGGATAAAAGAAGTAATTAAATCTTAATTACTGGTACAAGTAAGTTAAAATAGCACAATTGTAATAAAATGTTATTAATTTTCAGTTCCGACCATTTTGCTTATGCAAAACACGAGTGCCCCGAACCAAATACTCACGATGTACAAGTGCCCGTATGCCCATTGTGTAGTGCGCCTGTACCTGGTCGACGCGGCGAACCACCAGATGTGGCTGTTGGCGCGCACATAGACAACCAATGCACTTCAGATCCAGCAAGAGAAAGAAGAAATAAGGTAACTGTAAATTGTCATGCCATATTCCATATATTTTTTTATAACACAGAGAGCAAACCAGTATGTGGTTCTGTCGGTTTACTCTTGAATCTAATATAAAGATCAATCCAATCTAATGCTAATGACATTTTCATACTGCACTCATGAAACAACAGTTAGGAATTAGGTTATAATTGGGATTGATTTACAATAGTTGGCAATGACAAGTTACAATATCTATCGCTAGTCGATTTTGCTAGTAATGCAATTCGAAAGTGCGAAATGTCACAATTTAAATATCGATTTATTGGAATTTATTTCAAGAGTAACCTCATTAATGGTAAGTGACTACTGTCCTAAGCACCTGTACTAAGCACCTGCAACACTGGAGGAATTACAAGTGTAGTTGGACTTTTAAAAGGAATAAATAATGCACATAGTAGCTATATATATTTCCTTACATTTTTATCTTATATATACACCTGCGTGATTTTAATTGACGACGTGAATTACGAAAAACCATAGCCTAATTTAATTTCCATTCTAAATATTATATACATACTAAGTATCATAAGGATTGTATCATTAACGTGTCAAGATGTTACAAACAAACTCATTTTCATATTTACAATATTTGTAAGTGTTCCAATAATTATTGTGTGATTGAAAAAATTCTGAAATAGGAAAAAAATTACATTGATTTAAAAGAGTTTAAGGGAAGGAAAGATTTTTTAAAAGTTTTTATTTAAATTCCAGGTTTTCACAAATAAATGTTCATTTAAAGGGTGTAAAACGAAAGAGATGGTACCACTTGTATGCAGTGAATGCGCTCTAAACTTTTGCTTGAGGCATCGTCACACTACTGACCATTCCTGCGAAGGCAAACTAGCCGCCAAGAGAAGGCAGGCAGCGTATGTATTTTTTTTTTAATACTAGTGTAATTTATTTAAAACTTAGATGACATAACATGGATATGCTGTGAATAGCAGCTTATGTTTAACTTAATCTGTCTTAATATTGTGTATTCCAAATTTCATGTTGATTAATTGAGTTGATAAGTCACCAAAAGGTCACAATAAACAATTTTTTATATTTACATTGAGTAATTAACAAGAATTCTTTAATTGGAATATCTAAATATTTGTAACTCTGAAATCGATTCTGAAGCACCATTTCTAAAATTATAACCCTATTTCTAAAATTTTAATTTGATACCACAGTGAAATCTTTATTCTAATGACTAAATTTCTAATAGATTTAAGTATCAATATTTGGCCCGTTGTTTTACTTCTTATTTCACTTATTAAAATAGAACTAAAAAAAAAAGACCCTGCTATACTGTCTTCACGCTGAGAGCTCTTTATTTACATTCTTTTTTTTTTTTAGTAATGCAGCTATGGCACGACGAAAGGCAGCAGCGGTGCATACGCCGACATTTACGGAAGTACAAGGGAATATGGTAACTATCATTTCACACAATTACACCACTTATAAACACATTCGCATTTCTTACAACTTTCGTATATATAATCATATAAAAATGTTTTTTATTGTATTACGCTAAACATAATATAATAAGAAATATTTTACATTATATAAATACATGCATCTATATCATAATATGTATTTAAAAATGTAAATATATTTATGCGATACAAACGGGAGCTAAACGAAACCACCACTGAGCCATATCAACTTCATAGAAATTGTACACATGCATTATTAAACTTAGAAAAAATATTTTCCTAATATTCTTTGAAAAAATATTACATTATCATCCTATTAATATAATAGATGCGAAAGTTTGTAACGATCGACGTTTGTTTGTTAATTTTAAACGTAAAACTACTGAACGGAATGAAATAAAATTTAGTACATGGGTAGGTTATATCCTATCTTAGCATATAAGATACTTTATATACTAATTCACGAGGACAAAGCCGTGGAATACAGCTAGTTTAAGAATACATTAATTTCTTTTACAATGATGTATAAAACTGTTTATAATTACTCCTCTCCATCCAAAGGTTGCCTGGAAGAGATAGCTTTTAGCGATAAGGTCACCGATTGTTTTCTTATAATTGTTTATATCTAGAATAAGTTTACTATTATAATCTTTTGGAGGAAACAATAAAGAGTATCTATCTATCTATTATTTTTCAGACTGAAGACGAAGCCTTAGCACATGCTCTGGCATTATCATTGCAAGAACAAAACGCAGATCTTCATGCCGCAGACAACAACTTCGCGCGAGCTTTGGCAAGACAACGAGTTGGCGGCGAACAGAATTCAAGATGCTCGATATCTTAGCAAGCAATATTGGACCGTGCGTCATACTCAAATCTGCAAATTAGTGATTTTGCTTAGTTAGGCACAGCTATGGATGATGTCCTTGCAAAGTTAAACTAATTGAAAGTGTTATTATATGTTACTGTAAAAGCTCATACATTGATAAATTTTAGGTTTCACAACAAAATCTTAGGATATGCCAACAGTAAATTGTAAATGTAAGGATTAAAAAATAATTATGGGCCTTTCACCAAAACAAACGTAACCTACATTTCTTACCACGAATACAAACAACAAACAATACTATGATGATAGCAGCCGATAGATATCCACTGCGGAACATAGACCTTCTCCTATTGGGAGGTTTTACCAGTAGTTGTCATACTTGACAAGTAGGTTGGCAGCCATAATTAGGCTTTGGTGATGTTGCTGTCCATCTTTCGACTATTAAGTTGCTAAATATTATATGCTCTCATAATTTTGTCCATTTTTTTACAATTACCGTATCTCCTATGTATTTATTATATTATAAATTTAGAAAATTTTAGATTTGCCATAATTGTGGTTTTTACAGTAACAGACAATATTTAGACATCTTTAGTGTATGGCATATATATAATGCTATAAGTTTGAAACATATATTTTATTTAAAACTTTAGTTCTGAATAAAATATATGTTTTAAATTTAATTAACTTCTATATAACCTAATTTGGTCAGTTTCATTATTCATAGTATCGATTGACATAAAGTCTGTTAAATGATAAAAAGTGTATTTGCTAACAAATGAACATATGCTAGCGGTATTATTGTTAAACAGGTATTTTAAATGTTTGGCTAGAACAAAAATATTATATACTATGAAGTTGCTGTTTTATTATGATTTAATACGAGATTAGAATGACAATACTCTGATTTCCTATGCAAAAACATTGGTTAAGTTGCGATTGCGAAAATTTAGATTTTTTTGTTCAATCACTTTGTATAATGAAATGATCGAGAAGTTAAGTTACTCAAATTATAATGTGAACATAAAATTTAAAGCAAATACGAGTTTGAATAACATAACGATTAAGTTTAAACGAGATAAAAGACAAATTTATTCAGTATAATTTTCAATTAAATATTGCAATTGGGATATATGTAGGATAGAAGATAACATAAAATTTTTAATAACTTTGACTTTATAAAGATACTAAGTATTAATTTTCAGCCAACATTCATAAAGTAAATAAAGAACCTCAATTATTTAAAGATTTCAAGTAAGGGAAGTTTGTTTCTTTAAACTGGTTATTTGAATGGAATTAATTTGTTTAATTCCGGTACCATTAGTATGTGTGTGACTGTCAACACTCGAATATTGACAACCACTATTACTACCTGAATTTCCACAACTTTCCATATTATTTCTACTCAAATAACCAGTGATATGGATTTTCACAAGATAACATTCAGTTCAGTAAAATATTTCTTTAAAGGATATAGAATTATACTGCATTGTTCAATATAAAATACATGTAACGCGTTAAATCGATAATATGTACATTCGACCTGTATTTGGAAAGCGCTTCTTGCACTTTAAATTTTGTAATTCTTTAATCTGTTTGTATATTTATGTATATTTCTATATATTCGTAATTAGTATGACCGCTAGCTTTTCTTTATATATGTAATTCTATAAGCGTAAATTTACGGCATGTATTGCTAGTAATTGGACCTAAATTTATAACATTAGTGATATAGATTTAAAGATACATAATAAAAAAAGAACTGATATAATCATTATATTGCATACTAGTAATCCAGCCCGGCTTCGCACGGGTAGATACAATTTTCGAAAATAATATATAGTCTATGGTATTCGCTGATAATGTAGTTACATTGTTTACATAGGCTCTATATAGGTGCAAGAATTTTTAAATCGGTTTTTGAGTTTATCCTTTACAAACAAATCTTTCCTCTTTATATAGTTGGTATAGATAATATTGAATTACCACAGTGATATAGTTTTATTAAAAAAAAAATTTTATGACCTTAATTTGGTGTCAGTAATAAATTATACAATGACTTTCTCTTGTATCTATATTGATGACAGTATACTGTCAAATATTGTCATTAAATAGTAAATATTCACACTGAAGTACTAAACTTATCTTTATGAGATTTGGAATAGCAATATAACTTGTCGTTTCTTAACAAGTTAGGTGGACGAAGTGAAGAAAAGAGAAAATGATATTTAGGAAAAACATTACATAATTCAAATATAGAATAATTAATAAAGAATTGACATATCGTCATGAATGTTTGTTTATTAAACTGTTATGATTGTCGTATTTAATTTAGTTTCATAATAATTCAGAATTTAAAATAAATTTAAGTAAACAATACACATTGTAAACAAATTTCTTGTATAACTATTTCCAAACAACTGTATTCCATTAAAATCAATAATATATGCTTCTAACTATCAGCCATTGATATTGTACACGATTTTTAAAGATAATTATCATCACTTTATTTGTACATTTAAATAAATAGAACAATTTTAATATTTATAAAAAGCAAACTCGCAGAATTACTAGTTTTAATGTTATATGAGACTACACCTAGCTTTGTGCTGTGTTCACCAATAAGTTAAGAATTACCTTTGGAATATAATATTTTTGAGATAATTATAATTGTTGAAATATTCCCATTATAGAGTTGTTTTATTTATTTATTAATAATACTAACGATTAACGAGCAAACATTGGTACTGCCTCTACAGTACAGTGTAGTAACTAAAAGTACCATCATGATAGTTTTTCAAAGGAAATTGCCATCCATCTAGCGATTACAAAGCAATCTTAACAAAGAATATTATTTTTTACATTTAGCAGTTTTCGAAGTACTTGCTGTTGTATATAGTCACCTCCTTCCGCCAATTTTAAAGCGATTTCGAACAGGTTTTCATTTAGTTTTTTTTTTGTTTGTTATCTCATAATTTTTGTAAACCGATTCGGAAAATTCGATTTTTTTTTAGTTTATATCCCATAGAAATATTTGTAATATCCATTCAATAGTTTAGTCTTTAGAATAGAATAATTGGATTTATCAACTAGAAGGTAGTTTTTTGTGTTTGTGTGTTTGTGAACTATCATCAGAGCACGAGTGTCATTTAGATGATTTTTACTATTAGCTAAATTGTTATGTATTACAATTTTTGTTTTAGGTCTGTTAGAGCTTTTATTTCAGAACTCGAAGGTTGTATACCCAATTTGTAAAAGTAAAACCATTCTATAATTCTCTCAGCTTATAGTTAATTTCTATTAATATGAGGAATTGTTCACAAAATACTATTTTCAAAAAGCTATATACTTTCTTTTTCTATAAGAGGAGGTGGCGTATGACTTTCTTGTCACACACTATGAACAGTTGCAGAAATAAAACAATTGATATTTTAATATTTTTATTAATATTATTTTACAACATTTAATAGATTAAACCACAATAACATTAATATATAAAATATCACAGTATTTATAGATAAAAATAAAAAGAAAACAAAGAATTGCAGTACATGTACCTATACATTCTTTTCAACAATCTCGATACAAAGTCCCTTAACCACGATTAATCTTAAGATAGTAATCACAATTTGCCTTAGATTATTGCCAGAAAATTGTGATCTTACATAGTCGATAATCTCTTAACCCCAATCCTTCCCAAAACAGTAACATGTAAATACTATTTGGCATTTCTTAGTAAGATATGTAACGAAATAAAATAACCCCCAAAATGGGTATAAAACATCAGGTATACCTCAATACTATATTAAATATAAATCAATAATAAAAAATCAAATTTAATATTTTGGTACTTGATTGGAATTGAATATTTATTATAACATCATTTTTCATCAATCTCAACATAGTTTATCATCTTTTAAAATCTACCTTTAGCCCTTCCATTACAAATTGCTCTGCAACGCTTTGTTATGCAACGTTCGATATTTATGATTGTCGTTTAGATAGCTGGTAATGAATTCTGGCGGGTTCCGCATAAGGAATAGTTCCACACTCATATATTTTGCAGCTGTGAGCCGTTTCCTTTCAGCATTCGAACGACATAAGTTCTTGTGAGCGTGACTCGCAAAGTGGCTCGCCTTTTTCTCTACCAATTTTGGTGTGACATACATATTCGGATCATGTTCTAAAGGCGCCTGGAATTAAAATATATCTTATTAGCATAGTTTTAAGGAGCATTTCAGTCAATCCTGTAACTGGTTGAAGTAATGGCAAATCGAGTCATAAGCATTGTTATAAAATATAGTTCTCAAATTAGTATTGAGATGCTCAAAATTTTATGTTTTTGACCCGTGCTTCTAAAAATGGTCTGTTTCACTAACAATACACTACCTTAATACAAACGAGTCGTTCACCACTTGTCTAAAACGATAGTTAAAGAGCAACAAGACAGAAATATCAGTTTATGTCTCCCTCTCTCCCCTTATATTTTTAGCAGAACAAATTGTAGTGATTAGTTTAAAATAGAAATTAAATTCTAAGTACCAGAGGGGGACTTTGTACAAAAGTTGTTTGCTTGGGTATGTCTGTCCCATTTGTGTTTCTACTGTGTAGCAGTTGTGTCTGCATGGCTGTTTCGGTTTGAAGGGTAGGATATGGCAGTAAATTTACCGGGTATAGAGGAATAACACCTCAGTCCTCATGAATGTCCATGGTACTGCTCATGTCTATAGGCGACGGTTACCACTTTCCATCCTATGGGCCGTCAGCCTGTTTGCCATTCTATGTTGCATAAAAAAAAGCAATCTTTAAATAGTATGAATCAAAGTCGCTATCCATATCTCCACATATCTACTTAAATCACGCAACAGATTATGATTTGCGTTTCTTTGTTATTTAGATTTTTACAGAAGTTATGTATATATAATTTAAATCTATTCGACACTAGCTAGTTTCCACGTCGTCATGAGTTAAAATATGATATTTAATCTATCTTCTTAAAGTTTCAGCCAATTCAAATGATCGGTTATTCTAACGCATTTTATATGTGATAAAGAATCTAATTCTAAAATTTCAGATTGATATAACTTTTTTATTTATGAACCGATTGAAATAAAACAAACACTAAATATTAAGTGGAGCAAACCGCAATGCACTAATGAAAACCGCATTCAAATTGGTTAAGCCGTTTCTGAGTTTAGCGCACACAAACATACAGAGAAACATTCTAAAAATCATTGTTTTGTTTACGACTTTATTATATGTATTCGACATTAGTCATGCACATTACATGAATGGGTCAGAATGTCTTAACATTTTTTGCCCACCGTTTTAATAATATGTTTTTTTTTTCCTAGTGTCCCTCATCTTAATATTACTTACAATTTGTCGCGAATTTAAAACAGTTATTGTTACAATTATATTTACATAATTTTTTTCTGGGTATTAGGGGGCGTTATCGCATCCAGTTTAAAAACCTATAAGCTAGACTCATTCATGTGAGACGACTAATTTTCTAATAGAGTATACAAATAGAATGCAATTTCCTTTTATAATAACCTTCAATTATGCGGAAAATTAAAAAATGAACATAACAACCTTGTTTTACGGTTGTTAACCAAACAAGTTTAGTTACAATAATAGTTTTTTTTAGGTTCACTTCACTTCCGTCGCGTAAATAATTTAAATTCGTGTCGACAAAGATTTTATCGTTGCCATCTTCTTACAAACAAGCCGTGAACATTTTTGTATGGATTTCAATCACTCAAATAATCCAAACATGGTAACTTTATACTTTTAATGCAAACATGGTAACAATCAATATAACGGTTTATCAAGTGGTAAACTTTTTTTTTTAATGGACGATAAAAGTAATTGTAACCCCGTCTGCGCTAACAATACATATACGCCGGCGGGGCACCAATGAGAGATGATAGGAGAGGATGAAAAGGCAGCTTGGTTAGTTTAACGTGATAAAATTAGTTGAAATTAACCATTATGGTTTCCAGGGGCACCGCAAGAAGATGACAGGACTGTCATTACTAGCCTGTCAGGTCAGTTACTACTGTTCCTAAAAATCACTTCACTCCCATTTGATATAAATCGAAAGGGAATGAATACTGAAATGATTTCAATAGAGATTTAATGGAAGAGCAAAACATATGCCGAATCCAAATTATTAGGATAAGGGCAGGAAGATGATAAACAGGCGTATATTTATCAGTTACTAACCGAGAATCGAATCCATTGCCAGACTTGGCTTCTAGATATCTCCGCCGTGGCCGAGTCCTCAACATTGCCGCTGTAGAAGAAATGTCCGATGCCGGCCAACCAGTGATATATGAAGAGTATGGTGACAGCCACGTTGTGCCTGAGACCTTGGAGTGTCACTCCACCAGTTGGTATAGAGAGCAGATCTTTAGCGGTGATGTTGAAATCGAATTTACGATGAATTTGATTGAAAGCTCCAGCATTTTTCTTCCATAGCTGTATTTAAAACAGAGTTGAAAAGATCCATAACACCATATCAATGATAAACGAATTTAGGTTTAATATTAAGAATATGGTGTATCAAATTTTGATGTAAACAGCAGAGTGCAGTAGTAAAAAGTATATGTATTTGTAATATATTTTAAAATTAGTGGAAAACACGAGACATATTTTGTAAAACACTGTCACAGATCAAATTTAAAAAACAACAATCAATTCTAAAAAACCTCAGTATCAACAGCCAATATTAATACTCCAACAAATCTGAATAGATTGTACCTGTAGATACTGGAAAATAACATCAATTTTCATACTATTTCAACAACATATATATACATATATTGAAAATTATTTTTTCCGGTATATATAATATTCTTTCAGCCATTAACTGTCCACTGCTGGACATAAGGCGTCCCCATAAGGGGAGTTTTGCTAGTAGTTGCCACGCTTGGCAGGCGGGTTGGCAACCGCAAATAGGTTTTTAGAGGTGTTTTAAGAGGGACACTGCTGCGCATTCTATTAAGTTAATAATAATCATATCAGTCAATAATCCTATTAAGCAAATAAGCTGCTATTAAGTCGTTAACTTCGACAACATTGATTTTCCATGGATACGCGGATATATTCGAAGGATAAGTCATGATTATTGTAACATAATATTAGCCATACCTCATTAATGTAAGGCACAACCCGTGAATCGTAAACCAAGAAGCCATCAACGCCCGTTTCAATTTCTCTTAGTTTCGCTTCAAGGATCTTATTGATTATCCCTTTAGATCTGAAATAATTATAGATTTAAATTAATTTTATTGCTATTAGTGGATGAAAATAATGAGATGGATTAGTGGTGTGACCAGAACGAATAAAATCAGGGTTGGCCTTAATATAATTTGAAACAAGATGAGTGAATTGATAACTAAAAATTTATAAATTTGTAATTTTTTTGCATTTAATAAATAAATAAATAAAAAATAAAATCAATAAATAAAGAAAAAACAATTATTTTCTTCCGTTATTCAATTTATTGATTTTATTTATTTACTAGCGGCCCGACCCGGCTTTGAACCAGTGGCCATTTATTTTTAAATATTTTGGAATAAGCATGCAGTAAATATATCAGGATGTACGTAGTTTTTCTTATATATCTTCTATTTTTAGACAGCAAGCAATTTTTTTATATGTATTAATTCATACAATTAGGTACTTACTCTCTGTCAGTGCCATCGGAGCCCGGTCTTAACATCGCAGCGGCCATTCCACCGGTTGCTGGTGCTCCTCGAGCGTGGCATGTGCTCACAACTAGTTTCATGTAACTGTTTAAGAAGTGGAGGTCCATGTTCACGTACTTATTTCTATCTGGCAGCATGAACTCCTTGCGGTCGCCTGATAAAAATGGGCAACAATTTAAAGGTATTATTAGAAATATTTCGATGTGTTATTGACTCTTATAAATCTCTTGAACAACACCCAACTTAATAAGAGATGATAAACAAATATATCCTCAATTAAGCTGCAAACTTTGAGATGATACTGTGACATACAACTGCCATAATAAAATTTAAATATCCGTTGCTATTTCACGTCAGAGGTATTTATGAATTGTGTAAAATTATTCTGGTGTTCGTATAAATAAATAAATAAATGTATCGTATACCATATAATCGTAACACTAATATTGAATATAATAAGTTAAAAAATATAAATATTACCAAATTTAGCAATAATAGAAGCACAGTAATCCCATATACCGCAGTTGAGCCCTAAGGAGTGTTCTCTCAAAGCATATAAGATTTCGTCCAATTCAAAACTGGAATATATGTTTTCTATCAGTACACATGCTTTTATTGTTCCCTGTGGCAGCCCTAGTACTTTCTGAGACCATACAAATATGTCATTCCACAATTTCGCTTCAGAAGCGCCTTCCAATTTGGACAGATAGAAATATGGACCGCTGTTAGCTTCGAAGAGTTTCTTTCCATTATGATACATCAATATGCCAAAGTCGACAAGGGGTCCAATAGCTTCTTTGCCATCAATCTGGAAAGAAATTTTATTTTTAGTCCACTACTTCGTACGCGTGGTGAAGGCCACGCATACAAAGTAGGAAATAAGAATAGCGAAATAGGAAAACCAATTAAATATACCAATTGTAGATGGTGTATTAAATTGAAACATGCACGAGATTTTAAGTTTTTTTTTTGAAGCAACTTGGAATGGCAAACAAACTGACAGTCCACCTGATAGAAAGTGGAAATCGTCGCCTATAGACATGAGCAGTATCATGGACATAACAGAGTATACTGTTTCGCCCATGATATTCCCCATGCGTTGGCATTCCTGACTTAGATGTTATTGCTCTGTACCCTGTAAATTCACTGTCATATCCCACTCTTCAAACCGAAACACAGACATACAAATAACTGTTTCACGGTAGAGACACGAATGGGACAGAGGTGTCCAAGCAAATGACTTCAGTACAAAGTTTCCCTCTGGTAAGTTACATCTTCAGAAATATAACTGTGAAAACTGCATCGAATTTGGTGTAGTAGTTTTTGCGTGATGCCACAATCATGTAGACAGTCAGAGTTTTCCAAAAATTATTGTTTTAGTATCTATTGTTTTTATTACGATACTTTACATAAATTTTTCTTCATATCTCCCTTGTATATATATTAATTATTGTCTGATTACAATTTTATTTTATTAGTTAAATCATCTAATGGAAGAGCGTCTCTCATCTCTCTCTTTCATCTATTTGCAAAACTCCCCTTATGGGGAAAGCCTATCTTTAGCAGTGGGCAGTTAAAGTCTAATATGATGATGTTGTCACACTTGGCAGGCAGGTTGATAACCGCAGTTAGTCTTTGCTGTTGTAAGAGGGACACTATTGCCCATCATTCTACCATTAAGTTTCCTTAGTCGCCTCCCACGAAACCTATGAGAAAAGGAATGGCCATATCTATTCTATACCAGACCTACACGATGGTATAATGTTAGCAGATATAAAATTTTCATTAGCAGGTTATACAAAGTAAACACTTATTATGATTCGTGTATAACTTGGTTTATAGCCCCCAGGGTTACCATCCTATTTTCATTTTTACACTTTAAAAATGTTACTTATTTAATTTACTGACTTATTATGAAATAATTAAAGCCATTAGTTACTTACCAAAATATTATGTTCTATCATATTCCAAGCTCTAGGTCTCAACATCAATAATGGGCAAGTGTAAATATTGTGTGGAGCACCGAGCAATTTGCCATTGACTGCCAAATTAATATTTTGGAATGCAACAAGCTGATTTTTCCATGTTGGACAGTGGCCATCATCAAAATCCACTTGAATACCTTGAACATCCGCATTCAGAACTGATACAAAGTGAGCAGTATTCGACGCTGACACATCACCCAAGTCTAAGTGACGATTTCTAAAACAAGAATAGAAGAAAAAGAAATATTTCTAGTAGAGTAGATTATAGGTACATATTTATTTGCATGGTTCCAAACCGAAGTCATGCAAGCACAGGTGCTTTATGGCAGAAACAGGGGTAGAGTAAAAATACCCATATAAACAACTTTATTAAAAAGTTACCTGTGCAATTATCTATACATATAAATAAGAATCAATAACCGAAAATATAGACGCAAATCACTTTATATTTGGCTTATTCTTTTTTGTTGAGTTTGTAATAGTCAGAACAGTTTGAATGTTTGAAAAGTGAAAAATTAAGTTAAAAAAATAACACTGGAAAATAACTTTATAACACTGGAGATTGTGTGGAAAGGGAAGCTTTAATATATTTTGTTTTCATTAATACACCGATGCGAAGCTGGGATAGGTAGCAAGTATACAATATTTTTATTATAGTTGCAAAATTATTATAATGATACGAGTGTACAACGTTAGCGTCAGATAGACGACATTTGAAAAACCTGCCAATACAATAAGTTGAATACAACAACGGCAATACTAAATTAATATAATAACAATATCATACCATACATGGCTTGACTCAGTTCCCGCTCATAAACGGTTCCAATTACACATACATATCTTGGTTATTAAAATTTTTGTGTAGTACTTTTCTCTCTAATCTAAATAAGTTTAATTTATAGAAACAGACACTGTTTTAGTTAGGTACAATGAGTAACATTTAAAAAAGGCGTGTGAGAATAACTTAGCTCTTAGTAAGCTGTAAGTACATACTTATTTCTAGATACCAAAATTGAATTAATTGATCAATTTTGTATCATGGCACAACCAAGAGGCAAAGCCTAAAATTTAAAAAAATATACTTTCAGTTTCTATTGCTTTTATCAAGTCCCTTTGCATAATTTTTTCTTACATATCTTCTACTAGCTTTTACACACGACTTTATTTGTGTGACAAGGATATATTTACTGACTATGATAAAAAATGCTATGTCCTTCCATCCCATATAGCATATTTATACCAAATTTCATAACACTTGGTTAAGGTGCCAAGAGGTAACAAACAAACAAACTTACTGTCATATTTATAATATTAGTGAAGATTTACTTTTTATATATAGATATCATCTAGTGAGAATTTTATTACCTGTATGTATAGATTTTAAAATAGATATAGAAATATAAAAATATTATTATTGTTGAAATTATAAGGAACAACTATTGCTACAAGTTCAAATATAATACCTATTATGTATTTTAAATATTATTTAACACTACTATTAATAGAGTTTTTCACTACAGGATACAATTGCATATAGGCAAACCAAATTATTGCATAAAGTTTAATAAATATCCAAGGCTGTGTCAGGCTTTGTACAGCTAGCTAGCTAAGTAATGTCATCCACACAGGTGACTATAGTAACCACTCGCTACTGGGAGATCTGTTGTAATACCTATTACAAAGATATAACATTGGTCCGAAATTGAGCCCTGTGACAATCCTGTTTTGATCTTATAGAACCAATTTTAAGATTCTCAGGCTTTCTTTTTCTATTTTTATAATTTTTTATTCTAATTTTTGTTGATGCTTTCAGTACACCAGGGTGACAATGCCAGCCTTATAGGGAATATTTGCATGTTAGGTTTATTGTACCAGTTAGTCTGAGATAGCTGTAAATAGAGTATCATTAATTTCATATAGTAGTTTCTTATGTCACACCCTTTAGAAAACTTATTGTACATTTAAAAAGCAGCAAAGCATTTTTCAATTTTTCCAGTGTCTTTTAAATTTTGTTACAAATCCAGTGAACCTCCACAGTAGTATGCTGGTGCCATAAACCAAACTGGTGGTAAAATCTAACTTTATATAATATTTCTAGACATACTTTGTACAAAAAGCTTAGACAATATTGGCAGCAAGCTAATTATGGCAATTTCTTATAGGCATCTTGTGATCTATTAATTTATTATATATATATATTTTTTTAATTTCATATTTTAAACAGTGAAATTTTGATAGGATTACCATTCCATTATCACTCATAAAAAATTACTTGGCACAGGGAACAAAATGAAGGTGAACAGTTTCATACTTCATCCCTTTTAGTACATTGAATATATTTAAATACTGACAAAAGTATTAACTTGTTTGTATGACCAACACAGGAATATGCAATAAAACATATACATATGTATTTTTGTACATTAATTTATTTTTATGTTTATATACTCGTATAACAAAACATATTTAATTAGTAACAGACATTGCTCTACATTTTATTAATATTTTTACAACAATATAGTACAATAATACATAAAGATAAATGTATGTGCATTGATAATAATGTTGTTAATTACAAAAACAACTAAATAGATAACATAGATAAGAATATTATAATTCATGATTTATGTGATGTCATTTATAAAATATTGTTTTTAAATAGCAATATACCTTCCCCAGAGTTACTCCCTGGCCATATTTGGGTTCTATTTTTGACTACAATCCTATTTTCTATTTTGAATTCTATGGGTGATAAATAAAATTACTTACTGTAGTCTAGATGGTAATTCTGCAATTGTCCAAGTTTTATCATTCCTTTCTGGTGATTTTTTAAATTCCAAGTTTGCATTACTTTTAGCATCTAATGATCGCAACAATCTTTCCTTAAATAATGCCTCAATTTGAGTGTCAAATTGATAATGCAAATCTGAAATGAACTGCAAAGCTTCTTTTTTAAATATGTTTCTCTGAATATCTTCTAACTTGGGTGGCGGAGATTGTAAAAGTATAACATTAGACATTTTTATAATATCAAATAAAGGGTAGTGTCTTTTATGTTTCGAGAGTTAACACCACTGGCTGGTTCGTTCGCAAGACAGCATTTAAATAATGTTTGCATTATCTTTACTTGCGTATTTACGTAGGTAATTGCCTAGATTTTTCTTTCAGTGATGTTTGTTGGTTGATAGGCTGATTAAGGTGATAATAATTGTCATGTATATATTAATAATCTATTCTCATGATTTAAAAAGGGTTTACATTGACTAAATAATTATGTCGTACAATATAATTTATTTAATCTATTTCGTTTGTGTAGTGCATTTAAGTTAATTGTGGTTACCTATGTAAATATAAATCTAAAATATAGAATTACATAGGCATGTAAAGAAGTTATTTTATATTCTGTACCTACTGGTGCTGACATTTTGACAGATGTCAGTCACATTAGATGTTTAAGTCCTCTTTGGCATCTTGTTTGACCCATCTGGAAAAAACGAGATGAATATGGAAAAATATCTCCTTAGTCTGATGACTTTCTTGCCAAAATTTTAATTATTTAATAATGTCTTTACTTCTCTTTTTAAAAGTTACATATTTATTTCCTATATCTACTTCGCTAGATCATGGATATTTAACTGTTATTATGGATATCAGTTAAATATCCATTATATAATGAAAAATTATGGAAAGAATATGGATAAAATTATGAACATAGATTAAATCGTGTTTAAGAATGAATAAAATTAATATTTGAATACGATATTTCGAAGTAATGAAAATACTTAGAGAAAAATGTTTATATGTTAAATACGTTTGAAAAAATATATTAATACAGCAAAATATGAATATGGAGAGGGTGAATGAAAAGGGTAAGATAAACTAAAAATAGAAACGGAAAGATGTCGTTTTATTTTATTTTAGTTGTTTGTTTTGTACTACATGGCAAAATGTAGTAAAAAACCTACACAAGTTTATGATTGAGTTACATTTCTAGAAATTGTATTAATTTGTAGAAAAAAAAAAGATTTTTGGATAATATTAAATATCGTATCTGGCAATCCCATCTAGTGAAGTATAATCGTCTTTGTAATCTATGGTCGTTAAACATAGTCTATCTGTTATATTTTCTTTTGTTTGATTATAATTACTGTAATGTCTTTTGGTTTTGATTTTTTAATCTTTAATATTAAATTTTATCTCTATTAAAAATACTGAAAAAAAAAAGTATTGAACATGGCTGAAGCCGATTCCCAAAACGAAACCGTTGAAATAAAATTTAAACCAAAGAAACCCAAGAGCTTGCGTCAACGTATAAAAGAAGATGAGTCCGACGACGAGGAACATATTTTGGCGAAGTTGGATGAAGCGAAAGAGATCCAAAAGCTTCGAGAAAGACCTAATGGCGTGAGTGTTGTTGCTTTAGCTACAGGTCAAAAAACTACGCTTGAAGAGGAGATCACGTGTAAGGATCCTTTTAAAATTAAAGCTGGCGGTATGGTGAATATGCAAGCTTTGAAAAGTGGTAAAGTAAAACAAGTTGATGACGCCTATGATACTGGGATCGGTACGCAATTTTCTGCAGAAACAAACAAGAGAGATGAGGATGAAGAAATGATGAAATACATAGAGGAGCAATTAGCGAAACGGAAAGGTAATTGTATTTACTAGAGAGAGATTGTATAATGTTGGTATTTTTTTAATCAGTGATAATGGAATGGGTTTTTAATGGGTTATTAAAATTTTATTTCTCTGTATATTTTTGCTGTAAATATTATTCATAAAATTTCTACAACACAGAATGAGGACTAACACATGAGAGTAGCACTGTGATGTCTAGAATGTTGTTCATGTTTATAGATAAATTTTAATCAATTTCTATCAGATGAGCTGACAACTTGTTTGCAATTCTAAGTAGCATAAAAATTTACTTACATTATTCAGATATTGATATATCTTGCTGGTTACCTGTCATAACCAAAGTTAATCTAAGTCTTATGATATTTAAAACTTATCTTGTTTATTTCTTATTTTACAGAGGGACACAATAACACCCAAAAGGAACTGGATCACAATGATACACTAAAGTATTTATCACCTGAAGAAGCTGCACTACTTTCATTACCAGAACATTTACGAGTTTCTTCTACTCAGAGATCAGAAGAGATGTTGTCAAATCAAATGTTAAGCGGCATCCCTGAAGTAGATTTAGGCATTGATGCTAAAATAAAAAACATTGAGGCAACAGAAGAAGCCAAAATGAAGTTACTTTGGGAGAGACATAACAAAAAAGATGGGCCATCACAATTTGTTCCTACAAATATGGCTGTCAACTTTGTGCAACATAATAGGTTTAATATAGATAATGATAATTCTAAAAAAAGGAAGAAAGAAAAACCAGAAGTTATTAAGACTGAGACAAATGTAATAGATGATAATGTAGATAAAATAGTAAAAAAGGCTAAAGGAGAAAGAGCTACAGATGATTACCATTATGAAAGATTTAAAAAACAATTTAGGAGATACTAGAATATCATATTGCATAGTTTATATGTAATAAAAATGGACTAAAACATGCTGAAGGTATTCTTTTGGTACATAATATGTATATTGATATATTTTGTAAATATTACAGAAGCATAAATTCTTTTTTATCAAAATTTGCTTTACTATATTTATTTATCTTTATATCAGTGGATAAATAGTGTTAAATATTTATGTAACATTATCACATATATCACCCTAAATACTTTGCGAATATAATTGCAATTAAAACAAATCATTACAAATCACAAAAATAATATATTTTAAAGCCATAATTATAATCCTGTATATAATTTAATATAGAGTCCCTCTGCCCATCTGTACAGTGCAGCTTGACCCGTACGGTGAGCGTGGATTGTAGGGTGCTGGATCAGGCTGGAGAGAAACGACTGTATTCCTTTTCTTAAAGCTCCCGGTTTAGCTCTGAAGAGTTTCTCATTTATTCATGTAGGACAGTTCCTTTATTTGGGAGAACTGGCAAGGTAAAGCCAGTTTATTTACAATGTATATTTATATAGTCTATGTCTAACATTAAATGAAAATTCAGTGCATGAACAACTATTGCCATGCGTCATTCAAGTAATCGTTTAGTGAGTAATAGGCTTTGCTCAGTAAATATGATTTAACAGATGTTTTGAATTTATTTAAGGGTAATTCCAACATATCCTTTGGTATCTTATTGTAAATTTTTATACCTATTCCCATAAAAGACCTATTAACTTTTTCTAAACTAGTTTGTCTTTAAATCTAGTATTAATATTATGAATATTGCTGTTTTTTGGAAATAAGTCAAGATTTTTATGAACATATAGAATATTTGAATATATAAATTGAGAAGCAACGGTGAGAATATTTGCCTCTTTGAATTTCTCTCTTAATGGTCACACAATATCGTTTTTGTAATATGAATATACTAACTCCCCATAGTAATATTCCGGTGAGTCAGTATCAGTATCAGTGCTGTCTAACTTTACGCACGGATGGGGCTGCAAGGCTTTGAATTTGTGCACCCCATTGTGAGTGTGATTCCTAGAAAGACAGTAGATTCCCTTCGAGAGATTCGTCATTTAATTTAATATTGCAATTAGTTTTAAAACTTTTAGATAGAGAGAAATTAACACTTTTTGATTTTTTAGCGTTTAACATAAGATTGTTAGTTGTTGTTATAATCATAATTATTAGTCATTCTATTAACTTTAAAAATCAATGAAGTATTTTGCAAACAATACTATGCCGCATCTATTGCATGGCATATGGGAGATCATTAATGTTAGGAATAAAAATGGACCGAGAATAGATCCTTGAGGTACACCCATTTGCACAAGTGACCCGTCAGACGTAGCGTTGCTAATCTTCACTTTCTGTATTCTATCAAATAGATAAGATTTTATTAAATTTAAAGCATTGTCTTTGACGCCATAAAAAGCAAGTTTTTTTAGCAATGTATTATGATCAACGCAATCAAAAGCCTTAGAAAGGTCACAAAAAACACCTATCACATCCATTTTAGTTTCCCATGCAGCAAATACGTGTCTACGCAACTCTGCACCTGCGTCTGTAGTTGAACGACCTTTGGAAAAACCGAATTGACTATTGTGGATTAAATTATTTAAATTGAAATAACTGACAAGTTGCATAAGGATTATTTTTTCAAAAATTTTAAAATGGATATAGGTCTATAATTTATTGGGTCACTCCTATCTCCAGATTTAAAAAGCGGTATGATTTTACTAATTTTCATTATGTTAGGAAATTTACCTTCATCTATACATTTATTGAAAATAAAAGCAAGAGAGGGCGCAATAATTTCCATTATACTATCCAGTATTTTAACAGATATACCCCATAGATCCTCTGTTTTTTTATTATTAAGTTGTTTGAATATTTTCATTATTTCTACTGATGATGTATGTCTAAAGTTAAATACAGCTGATGACTTGCTAACATTGTCTGTTAGTAAAGTTTCAGCAGCAGACGGGGAAGATTTTAGAGCCTGTGTCGTAATTAATGGAATTAGTAAAATAAGATTCGAATGTATGCGCGACCTCTGTGTCGGAATTTACCAATTTGTTATTAATATTTAAAGCTATTTTGCTATTTTGAAAATTAACTTTTCCAGTTTCGCTATTTATTACTTTCCAAGTGGCTTTTATTTTATCTTTAGATTTAGTTATTATTTTACCTAAATAGAGAGACTTAGCTGCTACTATTTTATTTTATTATATTATATATTATTACTAGCATTTTTAAATTTTTTCTTATTTCTATTTGAGGGTAATAAGGATTCGACACAATAAAATGCTTTATTTCACTTACAAGCTATAGATACATCATATAAAGAACTATAAAAAATAACAATTTAAATGATTAAAAACTGACAACTTATGCTAACAAAGATAACTACAAAATATCAAATGGCACATTGACAATGGTACTGAAGTAATCGGGTAAGACAATATTTTTGCAAAGTCAATCTTGTAATCTAATGAGATTCCCAGCATACGTCCAAACAAATCCTTTTGAATTTTTACTTCTTGAATTTTTCCACCAACATTTATTTTTTTCTTTTTTTCAATAATCTTTAGAAAAATTATCAATAGAAATTTTCTTAATAGGTTTTTCAAATCTTCCTATATCAGCGTGACACTCAGAAATAAATGTTTTTCGAAGGTTATCTCTATTAGCTTCTATATTTAATAAAAATTCTTCTACTGGTGGTGATGCGGACTTTCCTGATGAAATATTAAGTAATTTGTCTCTAGGCACATCTAAACTAAATGGATTAATAAACTGATCAAAAGTAGCAATAAATCTTTGCAGTTGCTTGTTGTTTTTCCGGATATTATGGGTTTTTAAGTCAGCTGAAACATCTTGATGACTGTGGAGTCCTAATTCAAGATAAACTTGGCTAATTATTGTAGATGTCAAGTCATGATTTCGAGCCCACCGTTGTCGTGCCGAAATTGACTTTGTGAAGTGTATAATGCCGGTCAGCCTTCTCGCAGCATCTGCATTTATGGTTTGCTCAAGTACCAGGTCAATAGGTTGTCTTGAAAATGGCTTGGTAGTTCTTTTAATTCCAAAGCAACCTTTTTGGAATCCTTCATATAAATCAGGATGAGTTTCGGCAACTTTTTGTAAATTATCAGAGTATTTGACCGTCCACCTCGAATAGTTTTGTTGATTACATATGAAAAATATATTTGTAATTTTTGGTAATACTGATTTAAAGAGTTGAAAATTTCCAGTATGAATACTTCGAGATAAGTCCAAATAATGATGTAGAAGATTTATATAAATTAAATAAAATTGTTCTGTTTTACCATGCTCCCCGTTAAGAGTTTGTTGCTTATATATATTGTAGTTATTCATCAGCTCTTTCAGGTTTTCATTTTCAATATCAAATGCAAATATTTCACAATTTTGAAGCCTTTCAACTTCCCCTATCACATCATTACTCAAAATGATATTATTATTTTGTAAAAATGATTTAAAATGTAGTATTTCCAGTCCTAATGCTACCAAAGGATGCAATCTTTTGCAGCGATTAAAGTGTTTCCCGTCTATAAATCCATTAACTGAACCATTTGCTAGCAAAGTACAAGTAAGATATGATTTGTTGTGGACTGTCATGATCATAAATACGACTATTAAAACCAACCCACATAGGTACATTGGGTAATCCCAAAGCATGACTAACCATCCATATGGTATCAATCTCAGTGTTTTTTCCGGAGTCTACATATTGTAAATCATCCACCGATAATTGCAATTCATTCGTCATTTTAGGTTTTTTAGGATATAGAATTTCATCAAAACTTATTTCCTCAAATGCTCTTCTTCTTCTTTCTTCATTTTTTTCCCGGTGTAATGTTTTCACTTGAAACTTCAGACATGTCATGTTCTTCAATTGATTTTCTTCTTTTATTTGGAGAAATGTTTTCAAACGGAGCTTCGGACATCTCCGATTCTTCCGTTGTTGTTCGTTCTTCATTCAGTGAAATGTTTCCAGTGTTTTCACTCAGAGCTATGGACATCTCAGGTTCAGCAGTTGTGTCTAAATCTATATTTTGATACATAATTCAGACCGTGTCGTGTAAAGTATCCTTACCACTACTCGTTTCGACATAACGGTCAAAATTATACGCTACGCCGGTAAACAGCCCTGATTTTTTTTAATTTTTTTCTGGACATAAGCTAGATTTTTCCATTGATGTATATGTAATTTCAGTTTCCAATTCTTCAACTCACTCGCACTAGTTGTTGCATATGACCCCCACTCTCGCAACTATTACACACTTTAAATGCGTCCGGCGGGGTGATAGAATCCTCAAAACTGTCTGGCTACTAAGGAAACACAGTTTAATAGTTTTCTAAATAATATATATAAAATGCAGCTTTCATAATATAACGTAAGTATATTTCCAAAATATTATAGTTTAGGGGTATCTGGCGAGGGTTTGTAACCACACTGTCTGGCAATGAATATTGTGAGTTTTAATACTGTTGTGAATAAAATATAAAAAAAAAATTGAGTTTCATATATTAATAAATTTGAGATAAAATTTTGTACACCTTTGTTACCTGTTACCTGCCATGGGAACCACGATCCAGGTTTCATGAGTGGGGATCGTTCTTACCTGTGTTGGGGACACACATAGAAGAACTTTCACATTTACTAACAAAAGGAAGGTCTGACGCTCACGGGCTCTTGCTCTATCTCTGACGAAGAGTTTTTAGCGTTGATTTGCAAGCGTAACTGATAATATTTATAAGGGGTCGGATCTTGTAAAGTTTGTCGTAATCTGGGCTAGACTTCTCTGGGGTCAACGAGTTGTCATTAATATGTAGGGTAGACTGGGTACGGTTGAAACATTTTAGCATTTATCATGTATAGCATCGGGATTATTAAGCGAGCGATGTCGGAAATATACTAAATAAAAGACCTTATATCTGTCTACTACAGGGCAATGTTATTTAAGATCACTGTATAGTATTTTCTGTATAAAATCAAATTAAAAAAAAATTTGAAAAAAGTTTGAACCGTCCCCATCCCAGGGTCGGTTGAAACAGTGTCTGGGGTCAATTGAAACACATGCAAATAATACAAAATATAACCAATTATCATGTTTTATTAATCTTCTAATAACATTTTTCGAATGGTAATGGCACATTTGACTATCACAAATATTTTTATGAAGAAATATTTAAGTCTTTGGCTATATTTATAATCTAACATTATTTTTAATCAGCCTTCAAAGTTTTATATTTAGTACAACTCAAACTAAATAATAATCAGATGTTGGTAGCGATAATATTTTTGAAATAAAGTTACCAAGCAAACATGCTATTATATTTCTCAACTATCAACACTTTTAATTATAAACTATCAAAACAAAGACATTAACTTTATCAATGAAAATTAAAATTAAAATTTTAAACAAAACTACTTCAATCGTTACGAGATCATTCGGAGTCACAGTTGTGGCAAACAAGTAAGGCTACCTTTCGTGCACTCTTCATGCGCCCACATTTTACATACTATATCTACATTGTATCCATTTTTCCCTCGGTCTGCTTTCTGAATATGCTGACATACAAACAACACAGTAGCACTCTTCTTCTTCTGATGATGATTCTTGTCGCGTGTTAGTTTTTTTCTTGTTTGTAGTATTTCTTTTAGTCTTTCTTCTATCTAATCTTTTCTGAACTTGCTTAGCTTTGGTTCGTTCCATTCTGATCTCATATTCTCTTCTTATCTCTTCTTTTTCAGGTGTGTCTGTGTATATTGTAGATTTCCTTGTTTTTCGGCCCCTATTTGTTAATTTCCTTGGAGGCACTTTTGGTAGTGGTCGTATTGCTTCCGGAGAAAATACTAAAGGTGGTGTAGTCGAAGTCGTGACATTTTCCGTTTGATTTGATAGCACAGGAATGGATTGAAAACTTGCAGAAGGTGTTGGTGGAAGCCAAACAATACTACTACTACTTTGATGTTCGGGTAGTGTAATCAAAGGTGCTGGATTCGCAATAATGTTTCCTTGTTTTTTATCTAGTGCTTGTGAACAATGTGGCATATTTTCCATCGGTTGTTGTACAAAAAGAGCTGCATTAGTAGGCTCCTCCAACTCTTCGGGTGGTTCGAGGTTTAAAATGGAAGACAACGGTGGTGGCGTTTTATCCCCAGGTATACTAGTATTCGGAATAAGACTATCAGCTGTTTCGATTGGATTTGGCCTATCTGTCACAAATGCAGGTGCAAAATCGAGTTCAGGAAACAAATGCCGATTGAAAGGAACAATCCCAGTAGTACGAAAGCCAGCTTGAATATTGGATTGTGTAAGAGCAAGCGGTATAGCAGTAGTTAAAATCCCTGGGATGTCGTATATTGTCATTGTTTTTTCGGGGTGGCTTCGCATCCATCCATCACAGGTCGAATTTACAGCTTTCTTCAGTGGACCGAATACAGATCGATCAAGTGGTTGGAGTTTGTGTGAGCAGTGGGGAGGGAAAGATAGCATTACAATACCATTCGTCTTGCAAAAGTCTAGTGCGTTAATGTGTATATGAGATGCGTGGTTATCAAGGACAAGTAAAATTTTATGCGAAGGAGAAGCATTTGTATGTTTTTTGAAGTGATCCAGGAAAAGCATAAATGATTCGTCCTGCATCCAGCCTGAAGGATTTGCACTTCCAGCAGATCCTATTGGTCCATCCCTGATAAAGTGATCTTGGTATCGCACACGCGGAAAGACGAAGAACGGAGGAATAGCATTTCCAATGGCATTGACTGCAATGGCTACTGTAACTAAAGTACCCCTCTCCGCCGAAGTTACTGAACCCACTTGACGAGCACCACGTCTAGCTCTCTGTCGGGTTTTTGCACAGTAGTTATGCCGGTCTCATCAACATTATATATATGTTGTGGTTCAAATTTATAGCGGTCCATAACATTGGCCAAATTGTCGTAGAAAGCATCTACATTATTCCTATTAAAACTAGTCGCCCTAGAAAGACTTGTAGCCTGTGCTGCACGTACTGACAGTTCAGGATTTCTTTTCATAAACATGCGAAACTATTCTTCGCCAGCCATTTCGTTGTCATCCCAAGTCCGAGGTCGTGATAAGTTATACTTGATGGTTAGTTCGTATGCCAATTTCATAACATCCTTTTTAGTTAGGCCAAAATATATATCTGCACATCTAATTAAATATTTAGATAACTCACGCTCTTGTTCCTGGGTAAACACACGATTGTGGGCCTTATATCCCATTTCTTGATTTTCATCGTTACTAGCCGCATCTCGTTTACGTATATATCTGAACAGGGAATAGTGGTTCAGTCCATTTTTTTCTGCCGCTGTTCTTAACGAAGATCCCGCTTTCACATCTTCATAGGCTTGTTTGTACGTTAATAAGTCGGTTCGACCTTTCGTAGTCTTTTTTTGGCGTACTCTTGGCATCTAAAAATCAATAAAGTTTAATTAATAAACTGTTTCAACCGTACCCACAAATAATGTTTCAACTGTCCCCACCCCCCCATCTTAGTATAAAACGGTTCATAGTAAGAATAATAGTAAATTAAAATAAAAACTTATCATACTACAATATTGTACAAACTTCAATTCAACTGTAACAGAACTCTCAATCATCTAACTATAAACGAAATCTTAATAATTGCAAAAATGTAGGTACAAAAATACTTACTTTTCCGTCAAAAAACACAATGGGGCCTCCTACAGACAAACACAGCGCCCGAAGAGCGACGCAATACTAAAATTCAAGTTTTGACTTGTCGCCCGCTTCGTACTCCCCTTGTACCCTTCACCTCATCACGTACCATTCACGAGATATTCACTTTGTTTCAACCGTACCCAGTCTACCCTAGACAACGCATAATATTTTTGAAACTTCTGAGAGGCATTGTTGCAGCTATTTCTTCCACTCGAAAACTTGGATCTGATGACCAATACAGATCAATACTCGGTAGAATGCCTAAAAATGACTTTAGTTCGTTCTTATCAATGGGCGTCCACCATCTAAAGTTTTGTTGTCAAGCATACAAATTTGTTTGAGATACTATCAGATCATATGTTCCCTCGATAAAATATTTTTCAAAATAAACAATAGGTCTTGTTTTTAATTTTGATGCCAAATTTAGCAGTACATTCGATTACGATTAAAAAATCGTTAGAATTATACCCAGAACCTCTCTACATATCAAAAGTACAATAATTCTCTGGAAGATTAACACTTACCTGATTGAAAACAGACAACAATTGACTAATACAGAAGTTATTAAAGTCGCTGGCGGCAGACCAAAAAAAAACAATTTTATAAATATAACTAAATTTAATTCTATAATTAATTATTACAATAATAAGTGTCTTCAAATCGATGTGTGATCCGTGATAAGTGAAGTCATATAAAACCAAACATAAAGGAAATGGGTATTTTTGCTGCGGGAATTGAAATGTTGACTCGACGCAGGTGTCTTTCTCGGTAGCGCACCTTCTTGCGTCATGCTAGGTGGTCCGATCCGATCGCCGTTGAGGGTGTGTCGTAATACTTGATAGGTATCTACTATAACACCTTCCCGTTCAGATTAGTAATTATCTTTGAAGCTTCAGCTGAGAGAATATTGCGGACTGTGGCCTCTGGGTACTGGTATGGTTTCAGTTTCAGGAGGCAGTTTTTCAGGTGTACCTTGATTAGTCTTATATTTCCATACTACAATTATTATAAGACAGCTTAATATAATGATGTAAAGTGGAATCGTAGTATGAAATAGGAACGACTTTGAGGTTTGCTCGTGCGTAGGATGCTGCAAGATCACCTTGTGTTGAATTTCATGAAGTCTTATAAGATCTATCGATTTAAGATTTACATGAGTTATTTTATGGTCATGGCATTGCATATTCTGGGAGAATTGCAGTATCTTCATGGGTTGTCCTTCCACTTTATTATTAATGTTAGTTATGGTGAATTCCGGGGTATACAGAAAGCAGTTTACTGGGATTGTTGCCAGATAACTTGTATTCAGAATACTGTAAGTTTCATTTCCACATAGTGTATGAATTGTAGTAGCATTGGGGAATGATATTATATAGTGTCTCTCATCTAGCTCTTCCATAGCCACTTTAGATAGGTTAACTGTTGCTACTTCGCCAACTGGGTCGATAGATTGCTTGAATTTAAGATTCTGTATGCAGTTAGGATGCTGTCGAAGTTGATGATCCATCTTATCTCCGCAGATATACCAATTTTTATACTTCGGGCATTCTGCCTCTATATACACATAACATGTTAGTTGCAATCAATGAGTAAGGAGGAATGAGGACCTGCTTATATTTATTCGGAGCTACGGATAGTTTGTTAAATCGTAACTATCTGAGGAAAATATGAGTATTTTAAAACTAACAACTATCTGATTATCTGAATAATAGAAACCTGACTTAATTATATCATAGTATACCCTAAGTTCTAAGTTTAATATTCTATCCTTACCATAAATCTTAACTAACCTCTGGACCATTTGGTTTAATGTATCGATTTTAATCATAGAATGATGCATAGAAGAAGCGCGAATGAAAGCTAATATATTTTCGATTCTAAATAATTCATTTAATACGTCATCTATATTTTCATTTATATTTGCTAAGTATTGAGCGAACTTAGCGTATTTATTAAATCGTTATCTGCGTGAGCATCATTATCATATAATATCTGTAAAGTCTCATTAATTTTTATCTGATTTTCAACTAATTTATTAAGTATATCTGTATGTTAAGCCATCCACTCCTTACTGAGGCTAATATGGCTTTCAAGTTCGTGGTTTATTTTAATGTCATTACTTTGGAGAATTTACTATGCGCGCGGCTGGTCCAGTTATTTTATTTAAAATAAAACCGTTTAAAAATAGCATTTACTATACATAAATTAACAAACTCGTTGCCAGGATTTTCCTTAATACAATACTCATTAACAAATTGGTCACAGAGACGGATAAATCTAGGTAGGACGTGAGGATTACCATCAAATTCTGGTACTAGGCGCATGGCCTTCAGAATAGTATCTACGTCACCCATATTACTATATTCCGACTCCTCGGAGACTAATTCTAAAGTTAAATCTCTATTTCTATCTAAATCGAGCCTACGGGATAGTCTATCGCGCGCAGGTCCTCTAGGGGTGGTTTTCCTAGGGTGGAAAATATTTGCAACTATACACCTATTCACTAAACTTCACACATTGAGAGCAACTTTACAGGAAAAATGTATAGTGTACTCACATGCGCTGTATATTGGTAGTTCTGGGATTGATGTTTTGACTTCTCTTCCAGTCAGGAAACTTCAGGTTCTTCTTTCTTGATACTCGTGAATGCGAATCGCTCGAGGCGACGATAGCGAACATAGACGACACGGTAATCGATGTGAGATATACCCTGTTTCTATTCTCGATACGTTTCGAGTATCCTACCGACTGCGCCAGTTATTAAAGTCGCTGGCGGAAGACCCAAAAAAAAACAATTTTATAAATATAACTAAATTTAATTTTAAAATTAATTATTACAATAATAAGTGTCTTCAGATCGATGTGTGATCCGTAAGTGAAGTCATATAAAATCAAACATAAAGGAAATGGGTATTTTTGCTGCGGGAATTGAAATGCTGACTCGACGCAGGTGTCTTTCTCGGTAGCGCACTTTCTTGCGTCATGCTAGGTGGTCCGATCCGATCGCCGTTGAGGGTGTGTCGTAATACTTGATAGGTATCTACTATAAAGTAGATATCTATCAAGTACGTAAACCTGCGATAAACGACGGTTTTACTTTTTAGTCACAAAATAAAACACACGAGCACTTTACTCGCTCGTCCAGCGCCCACTAGCGATCGCGTGGCGATTACCCCTCCCCTGACCCCTTCTTTCCGCCATATGATGCCGTTCTACCCTACTATGTAATATATGTTTTAATTTCAGTTACCTAGTTTCATCACGTTATGTATTTGTTCATTTTTGTCGCAAAAATGAATTTATATCATAAAAGTCCCATCAATACAGCAAAAAATATGACAACTCTAAAAAGTACCTGTTATGGCGGCGACTCTCTTCCAAACATTGTTTAGTGGTATTAAAACACCTTGATTCTTTTGTTCTGCTTCACAGCACTCTTTCACTTTCAATATCAATTCTCGAACCGAACTTTTTACAACTTTTGCCATTATAAACAATCTTTAAAATGCACTAAGTCAGTTAAAAACTCACAAAAATCTACCACAACAAACGAACTTGATTACATCGACGAACGATAATATGGACGACCTGTCAAATTTAGTTCCAAAAATCACCGCGGGACTTCTTTCATGAAAAGGACATTACTTGCAAACTGTTGTTATGATGGTTTTATTTGACTGACAGATACGTGAAGATACTTTATTAATACTAATATTTTTAGGTTATGTCTTAATTTATTCACGGAACTTATTCGAATTACTCTTGCTATTCACCAAGAATTCTTCTTCTTCACTTCATATTTGAATTAAATGTGATGAATATACATACAATATGTACCTACCTACAAGTTGGTATATAATTTTGTGCTCAACCAATATAGTTTTTATTTCTAACGAGCGTATATTTAAAAACGATGATTTTGTACATTTTAGTCAACAAAAACTAATAATACTTATTAACTGCAAAAATAATCACCGAAAACCATTCAGTTTGGCGGATATACCTTAAAATATATATAGGGGAGACCCGCTCAAAACGGGTACTCTAACGAAAACGTCCAGTATTTATAATCTTCTATATATATAAAAAATAATGTTACTTTTCATTGTAATTTTATAACTCAAGAACGGGCTCATCTATCCAAACCAAGTTAGGACTTTGTTTGGACTATTTAGTACATGGTTTATATGAAGTTTGCACAAAATCGGTCGAGCGGTTCTTTATTTATCACATTTTTTGTAACAAATGAATCCAATAAATGGCGGATTATTTTGTTAACACGTCAAACGCCATGGGGGTCACCGGTGACCTCACCCTTCCTCTATCATAGCGCCAT